ATAGATAGATAGATAGATAGATAGTAACCAATTATTCTGTCTTTTGTTATAACTACAGTTTCACAGTGTTCGTGAGTTCAAATTTTATTTTTTGTAGATCAAAACTACACTTATTAAAACGATACACTTGATCGGTCAATAGCCGTTTAGAAGAAAGAAGAAACACTGCCGTTATCCTCTATGAAATGATATGATTTAGCACCAACCTCTTTATCCTGTATTTCTTTCTGCAGTTGTCCGTCCGTTGTCCATTCCAGACGTTGAGCCATGCATGATGTAAAACACAGAAGCGCCACAAAGGACAAGACTGTTTCCATTGTTTTTGGAGGAATTCCCTTCAGTGCCGGACTTCAAATGTCCTCCACGCACACCTCCACACGTATTTAAAGGCTGGTCACAAGTGCAGAGCTACGAACGTAAAGACAATATTGGTTTTAAGCTAGGTCACCGATGCATGTCTTTACGAGCATTGGGATAACTCATTCAAAGAAACACTGTCCCATTCTCAACCTCTTCATCACCTGAATGTCAAGAGAGGTCACAGAGGGATTTCACAATTCAAACTGAACAAAGGTGACCGTCCGGATTAAGACAGTTATGAGGATATAAACACTCAAATAATTACTTCATTATTAGGACAACTGTACCATAAATCTGAGGGGGAAACATAGATAGTACTGGACATAAAGGTCAACTTATCATTTGTTCCACTGCTGTGAGTCTGGTCAATGAATCTACCTAATGGGTTTTCTGGTTCAGTTAGCTTTACTACATACTTCATTTGGATCTTAATAAAGAGCTGTTTTGGCAAAGACATTTGTCAGCTGGGAGTACCGTCGTTTGAGGCGTGCAGTTAATATCATGTACATTTCAGATAAAAAATACTGTCTCAAACCAGTAAGAATTACTCCAATGCTCAGGTCCTGTGGCACAGAGAATAGACTGTGTACAAGTCTCTCCATGGCCTCGCACATCTGTGTACATCTGTGACATGTTACTTTCATATGAACCATATGAGCACAGGGACTGGCCTTCTTCTGGGACTCTGGTCTTCACAATTATTGATGAGACTGCTCTTTAAAAACAGATTGGTTGAAACCACCAAAAACCTGGAAATTTAAATCCAGTTTGCAGTTATGTGTCTGACCAATATTATGGTCAAAACAACCAATCTATATTGTCATAGTATAAACAATGCAATCTAGTTGGATAACACCAGAATCAAACAAGGCAAAATGGGTGAAGTGTCTTGCCTAACGACACATAGTTCTGTAGCACAGGTGTCACAGTATTAACCAGGACCTGCTCTGCTCAGCTTCTGTGGAAGGTTCGGATCAGGCTTTCACATGCAGGTTGCCCCACATTAGACAAACAGCATGTGCAACTTGTGAGGAGGTGACCTTTATTCTGATCAATACATCGGTCAATCCCGCCAATATCAGATTAGCCACTTAGATTTGTTGGCCCACAACCTACAGATCGGTAAATTTATATTTAATATAATTATAATCGTTAATCAAACCAATATCAGCTTAACCGTTTGAACCTTTTTTGCAAACCATGTGCTTAATAGTGAAACTGGATGTTTGGTGTTGTACCATGTTGTACCATGATACAATAAATAAAAGTGAGAAGCTGTAAGCACATGTGTAGGTTCATGGGGAAACCTAAAAGGATGTCCTTCTCAGACCAAAGACAACCTTGAATCATATCAAGTGTTATACAAAAGCCTCATTCTAACCCAATTACACAGGTGTAGAGGCTCAATCTGCCTGCCTAAACAATTAGTAAGTGCACTGTCGGGGCAGAATAATCTCATTAAGAAGGCTATGAGAGCACTTTACAGGCTCTGTGTTTTTCCAGGCTGTCTGCACCATGCTGCGGAACACCGGCTAATTCAAGGTGGCATTTCAAAGAGAGTGGTTGATTTGAAAATGCCGTAAAGCTAATCATTAATGTATTGTTTAGTTTAAATTAAAAAAAATCTCCTCGATTCTATGTACGATCTTAGTCTGAATATAGCAACTGAAAATGTAGCATATATGTAGCATACATCAAGTTGTGGTGTATGGTTATGATGACTTTCTGTATCAAAAAGGAGCTGCAACTGTCCCTGTGTTATTGAATGATTTTGACCTAAATCTCAAAATGTATTGGTTGTTCCACCAGAACCTTTCACTGGAAAAAGAATATGTAAAAATCTATGAAAACCTATTGGAGGGATGAAATTTACACCTTTGATTGATAGTGATTGTTTTAGACTCTTAAACGCTGATTTGCTCATTTGTGAACTAATTACTCAGCTACTCGCACGATCAAGCATGAAACAACCCTATAACTGACCATAAATTCTAGAACAATAAAGCAGGGGTTTGTGAATAATGTCTTCTTTAATCTTTCGGCTCTCCTGCTCCTTCACTTCAAGCAATTTCCTTTTTTGTTTTTGAGGTTGTTTTTTTAATAGTGTTCCTCCATCCTCTTTCAAAAAATAGTAAAAAACAAAAACAAACAGTTAAGAAAATATAATTGGATGTCATTGGCCCTGCACCTGGAGGCACATCTGGTCCAAGAGGAATTTGGCAAAAACCCAGAAGGGACACATCAACAGGGTCACATTAAAGACTTATTCAATTTCACAGTCATAGGACATTGTTTTTTCCTTTTACTTGCTGGATCAAAACTTTTGAAAAAAAAAAATAAACCTTTAAAATCTGGTTTTGTTTCAGGCGTGTTCCCCGAGGATCTAAATGCAATGGGTAAAGTTTATTTTAAAGCCTTCCTCTGCATCATGACATACAACTTGTGTGTCCACCACCAATTGTATGTCAGAATCTACTCTGAGATCCTGGGATTTATTTTAAAAAATCTCAACAGTTAAAAATTAGTAAATATCTAATAAAATGTAGGCATAGTCAATAATACACAGGCACACTCGCAGGTCATTGCAAAGTGCAGTAAATTCATGAATCTTGTGTCGCTTGTTGTTGTCGATACTGGACAATGGAAGTAAATGGTTTTACAGAAAACCCCAGACAATGACTGAAGACATCACAATGAAAAGATAATTAAGATGTATTCACAACTTAGTTTGCATTGTGTGGTCCTCTTACCCTGACCGCATAAGGCACCAGATAAGTTGGTGTATTACTGCCCTCTGCTGGTAGAAAATATAGATACATATTCAGGAATTACAGCGCTCCCTGCAATGACATCATCATATAGTGCAGGGCTGCAGCTATTGATTTATTTACTGTTCGAGTTATTTATCGATTATCTTGATTGGCTGAATAATCCATTACATTTCTTACTTTCTGTAAAACTGGATTAAGTGATTTGGTGCCAGAGTTTTTTATTTTATTTCAGAAATTTAATGAGACAAAAAGTGGAGCCCTGAACCCTTTCTGTATTTCACCAGTTATTTGACAAGAATTCGAGTAATTAATTAAATTAGGCCAAATAAACAACAATGAATTTAAAATGCTTCAAGTTTATGCTTCATCATTTCCTAATATTTTATTCAGAAGGGTAGCAGCAGAAGCCTCCCCTGGACAATGTCAAAGGTTGGCCATGTTAAAGAGGTCATGTTTGAAATAAAATAAAACGTTAAGATTATATACCAAATTGGGACATTTTTATTTGTATTATTCTTAATTGTACCAAACGGGTGAGGTATGACCATAGACTGTAAATATCAATGGTATGACACAGCGGGTCCCCAAAGCCCGGGAATCATGGGTCACAGGTAACACGCATGCGCACTAGTATAATACTAAAAGGTCCCTAGCACTATTTATTTTTACCCATGGGTAAGTTAATCCATTTTTATCTCAAAGGAACGACTTATGAGCCACGGAGTTTGCTGCACTGTTCAGGGGAGTCACTCAGGCCCAGCTGGAGTCATCCGAGTCCATTTCTAACTTTAATGAAGGTAAATACATTCATTACAAACATGCATGTCCTTATGAGTAATAGTGCTAGTTTATATTAAAGATATCCTGATGTTTTTGACTTTGCTGCTGCTCGGGCTGAAGCAACATGCTAACATGCTAAAGTGAGTTGGTTCTTCTTCAATTGTAGTAAGATAGCGATGTATTATGTATGTATATGTATGTATGTATGTATGTATGTATATATATATATGTATGTATGTATGTATATATATGTATGTATGTACAGTATGTACTGTATGTATGTATTTATGTATGTATGTATATATATGTATGTATGTTATGTATGTATATATATGTATGTATGGTATGTATGTATTTATGTATGTATGTATGTATATATATGTATGTATGTATGTATGTATATATATGTATGTATGTTATGTATGTATATATATGTATGTATGTATTTATGTATGTATGTATGTATATATATGTATGTATGTATGTATATATATGTATGTATGTTATGTATGTATATATATGTATGTATGGTATGTATGTATTTATGTATGTATGTATATATATATATATATATGTATGTTATGTATGTATTTATGTATGTATGTATGTATGTATATGTATGTTATGTATGTATGTATGTATGTAGGTATCATACATAGCATACCTACATACATACTGTACATACATACATATATATATATATATATACATACATACATACATACATACATACATACATACATACATACATACATACATACATACTATGTATGTATGTATTTATTTATGTATGTATGTATATATATATGTATATATGTTATGTATGTTATGTATGTATGTATGTATGTACATACATACAAGACTGAGGAGGCGCCTGTGAGTGAGCACGCGTTTTGACGTCTCTGCTCTGTTTACCCTTTTTAAGCCTTTTAAAGCCTTTTAAACACGTTTTTACGGTGTATTAGTGTCTTTTGTACACTCTAGTGTGTTATTATCTTAAATGCAATGGTTCCAGAGCATCACGTCTTTTAACACAAAGACCCAATCGAAACGCGCTAGCTCGGAGGCTACCACGAGCGCACCACAGACATGGAAAGTGACACTGCAATGACCACGAACGACATTAGTCGCCTCACATTGGAGCTTCGTGAGAGGGACCGTGCCACTATTGCAGACCTCCGTAAAGAAGTCCTTCGCCTCACTGCAGAGCTGCAGGATAAACAGTCACTCGTGTCCAAACTTTTTGATGTCGCTGGCGGGCAGCACTCACGGCTTATGTCACTGAGCGCTGCATACTGTGACACTGTCGTGTGGGAGAGGTCTGTCAGCTCTGGGCCCTCTTGCTCTACACCTAAGTGCCCGGTTCGGAATAAAGAGCCTGCGGACTGCGAGGAGCCATCCAGCGCCGTGGCCCATGTGCTGAGCCTTTCAAACCGCTATGCAGCCCTCTCCGCTGACATCCCAGCCCCCTCAGCAGAACCCCTGGACTCTGCAGCAAACTCTACTGCTGTCCGTGGATCCAGGTCCACTGCGAGAAAGACACTCTTAAAGGAAGCTGTCCTCAGACGAAAGAGTGATCATTCCCCTTCTCTGACCCCAGTGCATCACCACCGCTTACCTTCACCGGGTCAGCAGCAGCGACCCGAGCCTGCTCCTCTCGCTGCTCCACGTCTCCGTGCACACAGCGTGGGTTGCCCGGAGCTGGGAATCAACACCCCCGCTCCCCTCCATGTGTTCAGCAGCGCCCTGGTTCGGACCCATCCCTGGATGAGCCCGCTGGTTCCGGCCATGGACACCGAGCGCCCTCTCCGCGGCTACGTCCACTCTTCGCCCCGACTACTTTGATTGTTGGAGATTCCATCGTGAGGCACGTCCGCTTTTTTAACGCGGTCACTCACTGCATTACTGGAGCTACTGTCCCAGATCTGCTCATCCGTCTCCCTCCTCTGCTTCAGTCCCTGCCTGATACCATTTCAAAGGTAATCGTGCATGTGGGGATCAACGACATGAAGCTGCAGCAGTCCGAGGTCACAAAGAAGCATTTTATGGATCTATTCCGCCTCCTCCAGTCCTCTGGGTTGTGTGTTTTTATCTCTGGTCCAGTCCCGACTGTAAACCGGGGAGATTGCTTGTACAGTCGCGTTGTGGCGCTGAATATGTGGCTCCAGTCTGCATGCAGCACTTTTAACTTTGTTTTTGTGAACAACTTTGGCCTGTTCTGGAAGCGTCACGTGGCCTATCGTCCAGACGGTCTGCACCCGAACAGATACGGCACCAGTTTATTGATGGACTTTTTACGCCATGTTGTTCAGTGCTCCCCGAGGGGGGCGTGACTGTTTACATCCGAGGCCCCTCGGCCCCCACTACCACCTTCCTCCTCCACTCCAGCACCGGGTGAGTACTGTGGTGCAAACACTGACCCCTGTCCGTCTGGCAGTGTAATACCAGTCCTGCCACTGAACGGCACTTACTCAGTCATGCATCTGGAACTTAACAAAGTAAAACAGAGTTCACTTCTTAAACCAATAGAGACTGTGTGTGTTCCTCGCACCGGCTCAGAAATGTGTTTTAATTTGAATAAACACAAATATAACAGAAGGACAGCAGTTAGACGGTCCAACTCAGGAAATCTAATTCCAATTCTTTGTAGTCAATCAACTAAACCCACTGACACTGATATTATTTTTAACCTTGCTCTGCTTAATGTCAGATCACTATGCAATAAATCCTTTTTAATTAATAATTTTATCTGTTCTTATGATCTTGACTTTATGTTTATGACTGAAACTTGGCTTGACCATAATACAGAAAATGCAGTCTTAATAGAAACAACACCACCAAATTTCAAATTTGAATCAGAAATTTGAGAAAATAAAAGAGGAGGAGGCACAGCAGCAGTTTTTAAAGATTGTATTGTCTCCCATAGAGTACCTCTTGGGAAATTTTCCTCATTTGAGTATGTCTCTTTTAAAATAGAACAAAAACAATCTTCTATTCTTATTATTGTTGTGTACAAGCCGCCACAGTCATGTCATAGTTTCACGCATCATTTCACCGAGTTGCTTTCAGTTGTGTGCACAGACTTTGATAGTTTAGTCGTCATAGGTGATTTTAATATACATGTAGATAACGTTGATGATAGATACGCGAAAGAGCTGAGCTCTGTGCTGGAGACCTTTGGTCTCACTCAGCATGTGAGTGGCCCCACCCATAGCAGAGGACACACTCTCGATCTGCTAATTACTAAAGGGGTTAATATCTCAAATGTAAATGTGGCCAATGTTGCTCTGTCAGATCATTTCTGTGTATTTTTTGATATGTGTCTCAATAGTAAAGCACGAGCTGAATCCTCAATTGTTAGAAGAAGAAGACACATAAACAAAAATACAGGTGAACTTTTCATGGGGATGATAAACTTTGATAAACACGTTGTGTTCTACTGTGGATGAATTACTTAACTCTGTCACCTCTAGTGTTTTGGATGTTCTGGACACGATTGCTCCTGTAAAGGTCAAAATTGTTACAAATAAGCAAAAGGCGCCATGGACAAAAGCGGACTCTGTCAGGGCACAGAAGAGAGAGTGCCGGAGAGCCGAGCGGAAGTGGCGAAAGTCAAATCTCCAAGTTGACCATGAGATCTTCAAAGATGCATTGTGCAAGTTCAACAGTGTGCTACGTAGAACGAGGGAAACTTATTTTTCCGAAACAATCGAAGGTTGCAGTAACAATCTACGCGTTCTGTTCTCAACAGTAAATAAATTGACAAATCCCCCTGTTAAGATGCCATCAGAGCTTACCTCCAAAACCAAATGTAATGAGTTTGCAGAGTTTTTTAATGACAAAGTCCAAGGCATCAAAAATGCCATCACCTCCACAGTAGAAATTACAATCCAACAGCCAGTGAAGCTTTTTGGGCTGACACACTTTACACCAGTACAAAATGAAACTGTCCAAATGATAATTACAAGTCTGAGTTCTTCTACATGTAGCCTGGATGTATTACCTCCTAGATTTCTTAAATCTGTTCTGAGCAGTCTTTTACCTTCACTCACGCATATAGTAAATATGTCTCTTGAATCTGGAACATTCCCAATGGCCCTGAAAACGGCAGTCATCAGACCCCTCCTAAAAAAGAGGAGTCTGGATGCCTTGGCACTTAAAAATTATCGGCCCATTTCAAATCTGCCTTTCATGGGTAAAATTCTAGAAAAAGTTGTCTATCAACAACTTACAGAATTTTTAATAATCAATCACTCTTTTGATATGTTCCAGTCTGGTTTTAGACCCCACCACAGCACAGAGACCGCTCTAGTGAAGGTAACAAATGACATCAGACTTAACACTGACGCAGGAAAAGTCTCAGTTCTTATCCTGTTAGATTTAAGTGCTGCTTTCGACACTGTCGATCATGGTATCCTCATTCAGAGACTTGAGGACTGGGTTGGTGTTTCTGGAACAGCCCTAAGCTGGTTTATATCCTACCTACAGGACAGAAAGTATTTTGTGGAGATCGGAAACTGTATCTCAGACCATCTGGCCCTAACCTGCGGAGTGCCACAGGGATCAATCCTGGGGCCTCTCCTGTTTAATATTTACATGCTGCCTCTGGGTAGGTTAATACACAGTAATAACGTGTCCTATCACAATTATGCTGACGATACTCAGGTCTATGTGTCCCTGACAGCAGGAGAACATGGACCAGTGGACTCGCTCCTTCACTGTATCCAACAAATCAGTGATTGGATGCAAAATAACTTTCTCCAGCTAAACACAGAAAAAACTGAAATTATTGTTTTCGGACCTCAAAAACAAAGAGAGAGCGTTATCTGCCACCTCCAGTCTCTCTCCCTAAAACCCTCAACTCAGGTCAGAAATCTAGGAGTAATAATGGACTCAGACTTAAATTTCAATAGCCACATATCATCTGTGACATCATCAGCTTACTTCCACCTAAGAAACATTGCTAAAATTAGGAACATTGTGTCTAAAGCAGACTTGGAGATTCTTATCCACGCATTTGTCTCCAGTCGATTGGACTACTGCAATGGCTTGTTCACAGGTCTCTCTAAACAAGCGGTAAAACAGCTGCAGTACATCCAAAATGCTGCAGCTCGAGTCCTGACTAGAACCAGGAAGTACGACCACATTAGTCCGGTCCTCAGGTCTCTGCACTGGCTTCCTGTGGCTCAGAGAATAGATTTTAAAGTAGCTTTACTTGTGTACAAGTCTCTCCATGGCCTCGCACCAGGGTACATCCGCGACATGTTGGTGCCATATGAACCAACTCGGGCTCTGAGGAGCACAGGGACTGGACTTCTGTTAGTGCCAAGAGTCGGAACTAGACATGGGGAGGCTGCGTTTCAGATTCATGCAGCTAGAGTCTGGAACCGTCTTCCCGAGAGTGTGAGACAGGCGTCTACTCTAGCAGTTTTTAAAACTGAACTGAAAACAGTTCTTTTTAGCTGTGCATACAAGTGAATGATTTTATATTTGTTTTTATCTTTAATCTTTTTAATGCGCTATGATTATTTATGATTATTTATGATTGTAATCCCTTGTGTGATTTTAATGTTTTACGGTTTTTAACTACTTGTGTGATTTTATATATCTTGTGCTTTTAATCTGTCTTTTTATGTTTACTTAAATTCTAATGTTTGATGATTTATGCATGATGTTATATGGGTTGTGAGGCGCTTTGCGTTGCCTTGTGTAGGAAAGGCGCTCTATAAATAAACGTTGATTGATTGATTGATATGTATGTATGTATGTATGTATGACATGACAATACATCACATTTACATTTCAAATATTTGTAGTCTGGTCACACAAATGAAAAGGATGTGGTTACCTTGACATGTTTCGACCATGGATGTATTTTAGGTTTCGGTGGTGTACTTCAGCCTTCCTCAACGTCTCAAAAAGTCACAAATGACATCAGCTACTCTTCCGCCCTCCATCAGCCGGTGGTCGCTGGAGAAGTGTGTCTCATGTTTGGGAGATTTGTGCTGTGTCTTTCTATTGCTTCTTAGATCCAGCGCTTGTATTCATTGGGTTCCTGATCAATTGTTCTTATGTTGTCCCAGTCCATGAGAGGGTTATTGCGTTCGCAATGATCTGATATTGCTGATTTCAAGTCGTCTTCCTTTTCTGGTTAGAGACTGTTTAGTCTCATTCTCACAATCTTTTCTATGTTCACTTTTTCTGTAGCTGAATGCCCTCCCTGTTTCTGCTATATATGTTTTTTGCATGATTTGTGCTGTATTACATATATATATATACTGTATATGGTTCTATTGTGTCCTTGGGGGGACACAATATCTACTACTTCCATCTACTAAGAAGACAAGATCAACCTTCCTAAACTATGTTAAGATGCTTCATGGTTTAAGGTATCGATGGATTTACCCAAGTGTTAGGAAAGAACCACCCTCCACTTTTTGAACATAACTCTCTGGTCTTATTTGACGAGCATGTGTCACCAGAATGATTGACAATTGGGAGGACCAACAGTCTTGTTGAAACACCAGTAAGTAGAAAATCCTCCTATATACCATTAACATCTTCTAAAGACAAGGCAATATTTCAAATCCAGGCTAAAAACAGTTCTGTTTAACTGTGCATACAACTGAAGGATTGTATCGTCACTCTTGTTAATGCACTGTGATTATTTATTATTTGAATGCCTTGTCTGATTGTTTCCATCTTGTTTTGTTAAGTACTTTGAGTTGCCCTGTGTTTAAACTGAAGTTATTTAGGCTCATGTGTGGTTGGAGAAAACTGTAAAACTTTTAATTTGTTGTTTGTTACCATTCATGTTGACATATCTCACATTGATTTGCTTAGTGGGCTGTTAGCCGAGCAGGACTCTTTGATTTAAATGGGGAACGATGAGCCAAAGTTTAATTTAAAAAAATGCCTTTTTCAAAAAGCCTACTGTAATGACATGTCTTGAAACATTTGGTGTCCAAACTCTGCAACAGCTATACACTATATATTTTTTATTTATTGCTAATTATTTATTTATGATAATTATTGCTTTATATGATTTTGCGTCTTTAAAAAAACAAAAAAAACCTGATAAGAAATCAATTTTTTTTAACAATACCTGTTAAATGTGTTCAAGTGAAGTGGCTATACTTCCTAACTAGTTCATCAATAGTGCCACCTGGTGGTTTAAATGAAAAGTAGACGTTCGCTTCAGTAATTTAATCGTCAAAAGTATTGCAAATTACACCTGATGTGCCGCATCAGGGAGGACCCGACCTAGACTCAACTTTATAAAGCATATTCAGCAGCGATGGTGAGAAAATAAGCTATTCCCGCAACTTATTTTTATCTTCATGTTACTTCCAAGGCTCTGTAAAAAGGTGGAGTGACAGAGAACCACTAAAGACTAGAACAAGAATAAATCCTACAAAAATGTAATTCAGAATTTGTGGATTCTGTGTGGCTGTGGAGAAAAGGTTCCTTCTGTTGACGCTTAAGTGATGAATGATTCTCATATGCACATATTTTTTAAATTATTATTATATTTTAGGACACACATTTTTGTATAATGAAACTCATGAAAAGGTTTATCATAACAGGTTTTATATTTATTTAATTCTCTCAACAGAACCCATGTGACAATCAGAATACAGTACTTTTTTCCTCCAACATATTTTCCTTTTTTATTATGCAAAACAAGAGAACACTCAGTGCAATAAGACAGAGGACTCTGACAGTGCGGTGCTCTCCCTACCTTTTCACAGTGCACTTTTATACACAAGAAGATTGTACATCATCATTATTACAATTCCAACGTCCACCCACCACATCATGAAGAGGGCAAAGTGAATATCTTAAAACAATCATTTGAAAGATTCGACTTGCATACGGTGTTGGCACACGCTCACACAGCTCCCTCCCACAGACACAGACATGTACACCACGTAGGAGCCTCTGTCACGGCGGCTCTCAAAACAAAAGGGATACTGCACTGGCAATCTGCGGGCTAGTGTTTGGTCAGCTCGTGCTTTTTGGCCACTTTGCATTTCATGGTGCAAATGAAAACCAATTTGGATGTTGTGTGAGGGAGGCTGAGGTAGAGGGAGAGAGCAAGGAACAGGATTATGTATGAATGAGACCAGCCTGATCAATTGTGATAGAAGAAAATGGATAGTGCAGTTTTGTTTTAACAAATATTTGCAGGCCCTTGTGCAACCATTGTAGTTGTAATTGAGCAGAGCTGTAGCCATGTTATAGGTCCTTCTTCTCTTTGATCTTAACATCGGTTTCCAGCCAATCAGATTACGCATGTCACTGACCAGATAACCAAAACATGACTGTTGTACAGCCATTCTCCTGAGGCTAAACCTTTTCTGCCAATGAGTCAAACTTCCATGGCACAGCTCTTCACTCATAGTCATTTTTATAAAATACATATATAAACATAATCTCCAAAATCATTTCTTAAGCAAGTGCATATGGCTATTATAATCTGCAGGACTGTACTAAGCGCTCAGGTGTTGATTGTACGGGCTGGTTGTAGGTATAAGTATTTACATTGTGTCATGGTGCGCATGGTGCCGGGAAACACACAATAAGCTCACAGGCATTCACCAGCTAACGGCACCAATCTCATTTTGAGTAATCTGCTATCCAAAGTGCAACCACACCCCTCTCGCTTTAATAGGCTTTGGCTGGTTTTGCAAATTATACTGTAAATAATTTATGTTATAACTAAATTCCCAACCCACCCTCAAAGTGTCTCAAGATTACAGCAAAAACAAGTCACACTCTCTGTTGCTACATTACAACATGCCAGCCAAATGTTTTTGTCAAACAAACGTTCATTTGCTTTGAAAGGCTTGGGCACAGTGACTACACAGCTCTTACTGTAAAATACAAACACACATATTTCCTGTTGTGTTCTAAAACTGATGTTGTACATGTTAGAACCAAGTGTTCCCGGGATGAGGGGTGCTGGAATTTAAAGCACGCTGACGCAATGCCTCCATTTACAATACAACAGTAAAATGCAGTAAAGAATATATTCGACAGAATTAATTGTCCATTCATTACTGTGCATCTAAGCACAAAGAAGAATTGGGCATAAGAAATTATGCTACTACAGTACGAGTATTGATAGATTATGCTTTGAAAGGCAAAATAACAGAAAAGAAACAAACATTAGATTCCATCTATCTACTGTACATAATTTAAGTTGATTTTAAATCTCATCCCATCTCATTTAGAAAATATCTATTCATCAAATACCTATTCTACTAATTATTCTACAAGTATCCAGTCACAGGAAATAGAAAAATATCAAATATCACCAGTGATGATAAGAAAACATGACAACCTGAACAAGCAGAAATATTGCTATGGTCTCCACTGTCCTTTGACATCAACTAGGCCCTCTGTGCTCGAGGAGGCTGGTCGCCTGATGTGATGTGCAGGGGCACTTTAGGACAAGCCCGAGGAAAGAGGGGTGGTAATATGGGGTTGTGTGGCAGGGAGGTGTTTGGTGTGTCATTAATGTCAGATGGCTGTGTCCCAAAACACTGTTTTCTGAGTGGGGTAAGGGGGTGGACGGATCTTTTTGGCCCCGTTGTTCTTGCCCCAGCCTGGGAGGACAGATGTGCTTTCCTGCTTGCACTGATTGTGCTCCAAATTCTTGTCATCACTGCGATCTGGGGACCGTCTCTCCAGAGACTTCTGCAGTTTTGGGTGCTGTCGGGAGCGAATCTCCTGGCACAGAGTGCGTTTCCTCTCAATCTGCTCCAGCATTGTTGAGTCCCCACAAACCCAGGGCATCTGTGGCATCTGACGTCAATGAAAAAAAAAAACATTCAGTTGCTTGTGATACCTTCAAACGAATCACAATGGGTTCATCAGTGCTTACCTGACTATGTGTTTCTGAAACTTTTCTCTGTGGGGTTCCCATTGGAGAAGGGTTAGCCGACACAGAGGGTGAGTGACCATATTTGGGAGTTCCTTTCATTTCTACAACAGAAAAAACAGAACAAAAGTATACTTAATTAGAATTGAAAAGGGATTTAACCCTGATGTCCTGAAATAAATTCTCACCTGGCATTGTTGGGCTTCCACTGGGTTTTCCTTGGCGAGTAGGTGTAGTTGTAGACGAGGACTGCCCTTGCATTGTGCTACTGTTCCTGTCTTGTGCTTTGGTCGGGTCCGTTGTACTAGTTCCTCTGTGCTCTCGTCGTGGCGTGCCATCTGACCTGTATACTCGCTCTTTGTCACCCCGGTACTCTCGTGCGGTGGGGCTCCTTGTGTGTTTTACATCGTAGTGGTGCTTATCCGAGCCGTTCAGATTTCGATCAGCACTGTCTCGTCTCACCTCCAGACCTGTTCTGCCCAGGTCTCGACTGTCCTGTCTGGGCAAAAGAGGAGGCGGCACATCCCCTCCATTGTGGCAACTCCTCATATCCTGTTTGGACTCAGAACTGTAGCCATTTTTCTCTTTATGACCTCTGGATGTTTCTTGTCGAGGGAGAATCTCAGGTGGTTGGTCTATTCTACCTTCATGCTTATGTTCTATTTCACTCCTCATTCTTTCTTTGCTGTCCTGCCTTGGTAACAAATCAGGTCTATAGTCTTGCCTGTAGTCCAGCCCCCCTCTGGATCTGTCTTTACTATCTTGCCTGGGCAGAAGTTCAGGTGGCTTATCTCTGTTTTCATACTGTGAGTCCAAACCATTCCTTTGTCTGTCTTTGCTGTCCTGGCGGGGTAAAAGTTCAGGTGCCTGGTCCCGCAGTCTCTCTTTGCTCTCATGTCTACAGTCCACTCCATTTCTAAGCCGCTCTTTACTCTCTTGCTTCGGCAAGAGTTCTGGTGGGTGATCAGACGGTTTCTCTCGGTCTTTGCTATCCTGTCGTGATCCTAGGTCAACACAGAATCCACTGCTCCTGTCTTTACTGTCCCTTCGAACCATCATATCACCATTGCTCGCCCCTTTGTCCTTGGAATCTCTCCTGACCATAGCGGCAGGTTCCAATGAGCTGCAGCCTCTGTCTTTGGAGTCCCGTCTGACAGGAATGGGCTCAACACTGCTGCAGCCCTGATCCCTGCTGTCCTTGCGAACCAGTGGAGGATCTAAAGTCCGGTCTTTACTGTTGCGGCGATGAGACAGAGACTCCCTGTCACGGTCTTTATCCTTGTCCCTTTCTTTGTCTTTGTCCCTGTCCTTGTCCCTGTCCTTGTCCCTGTCCTTGTCTCTGTCCTTGTCTCTGTCTCTGTCCCTCCGGTGAGAGGACTCTTTGTGTCCATGACGGTCCTTTGATTCTCGTTTCGAGTCCTTGCTGTGTCCATGGCTGTGCCTTTCTTTACCTTCACGCTTGGACTCATTGTGGGATTTGCTCTTTGATTCAGCTGTTGAAAGAGAGAAAACGGCTAATGTTAATATTCGACAGATACATTCTTAAAATGTTAAAGGGACCATATGTAATATGTTCCTTTTGAATGACATCTACATCTTTTTTTGTGTCCCCAGATGATAGGTTGACAAATCATACTTGACCTCACTGTACCTGGTTAAAGTGGAGGTATTCTTAGCAATCGACATAATGTGCATAATAATTATGTTGACATTGTACGAGCAGATTATCCAATCAGTGATCAGTGCTCAAGAGCTACATGTGTGACGGGCAGGTTAGATTCTGGCAACAAAAGTTGGATTGTAATTGTGATAACTTCAGACCACTAATAGAACATATGTGTTCCCTTTAAATTAAAAACATTTAATGATTGATCTTTAGATAAATGATTACTAACTGAAACAATTTTAAAATTCAAAGGTGACATGGAGAACACACACATTACATGTGATGCACATACTTTACCTTTGAAATCCACCAGAGGTCACTCATTACCCATTTTAAAACAGACCCACTTTCCACTGCACAATGGATAATTCCAATGTTAGTTAAATCTTAGTATATACCTACTACCGACTACCTATACTGTTTTTTAAAGAGTGGTAAATCATTGAAGATACAACAATCCTTGTTAGATGCTTTTCTTCTTGGAGAGTATGTGTATGGATTGAAACACACTAGAGACATTATATATCTTCAGTGCATGTATACATTTGCATGTGCATGACTGATCTTTATGTGAGATCTGCCTATTAAGCCCTGACGTGTGCAAACGGCCGCTATCTCTGCCACATATGCAGTGATGTCTATGGCGTTTGACTGCACGAGCATGCTTAGGGTGCTGAGAGTGAGCAGTTGGTAAGTGGGTCAGGCCAGCGTTGCTTCCATCACTGCCTCCGAAAAGAAAGGGAAAAAACTCATTCATGTTTGAGGTTTGTAATCATTAAATCAGACCCATTGCACACTCACCCTGTCAGTCCATGTGGAGCACACAGGTGTTGGAATAATAAGCACGTTCATTATTTACAAAGACTAGTAAACAAAAATGTCTTGTATGTACGAACGTACAAATCTATTTGATATAAGTGTCACAGTGCAATCAGACTCTTTAATGCACAGAATTAAAGTAATGTTTTGTGTAAACTCACCAATTTTCTGAGATGTGGAAGCAGTCATTTTCAGCTAAGGATCAATAGTTTAGTTTCTACTTGACATGTGTGAATATATGTTCAAGCTTGGTCTTGCTGTGAACATTCTTAAAACCTAATGTCAACATGCACATCCAGTATGCAGGGTGTAGGCCTGGTTCATCGTTGGAGGAGAGATCCTAAACCAGTATTTTTAAACATTAGTGTGTCTTGAGTGGTTTTTTGGTGTGCTGCAATACACAATATCACCTAAGTGGTCAAAAATGTTAATACATGTTTGTATCAGTTTCAGCTGGTGGTGTGATTGTTTTCAATAATATGCCACGGCTCAAAAAGGTTGGGGAACACTGTCCTAAACTGTGTCTGCAACACAAGCAGCCATTCATTAAGAGTTTACTAAGTATGCAAGTCATTACATTTGTTCCTCTGGCCTTTTCTTAGCATTCTACAGTATATCCTTTGCACAAAGACGGATCCCATCAAATGATGTTGGGACCAGTTTTAAAAGTGTCTTAAGAGCAGCATAGCTGATGGTTTAATGCCATGAGTGGGTTAGATCAGCAGTCTGCTTTATTCACTTATCCCCACAGCTTAAATCATATGATCTCTGTAAGATTATTTCAGCAGCATCGACTTAAACTTTGTTAGCGCTATATGCATGTTTGTTTATTTAGTTCATACAAAATCAAAAACTCCTCAAACGCAGTGCTCTGAAAAGCAGTAATATATTCCCTGAGAGATGGTGGCCCTTGTTTGACCTTGCAGCTAAACCAAATAGTGCTTAGAAAGCAAATCACTCACTTTCTCCAGGCTCTTTTGACTTCCTGCCACTTGTGTTCTTCTTTAGCATATTCCTGCCTGTGGTGAACAAGTTGGTGAGTTCATCTAGAGGGCTTGTAGGGGTCCTAGAACGTCCAGTTGACACATTTTGCATGGAGCCATGTAGTCGTCCAGCACTGTCCTGTGGTGGGGATCCTTTCCCATGAGGTGTGGCCGAGGCACTGCGAGGCAGACCCCCTGGAAAAGGCATTGGAGCGTCGAAGGGGGGTGTGCGCATGAGGCTGAGTGGGGTCAAACAGCGGCCCATACTGACCGGTGAAGGACAGGCGGAGTGGCTGCGCTGATAGTTTGATGAAGAAGATGATTTATACAGTGTACAGGGCAGAGGAGGAGCTGAAGAACGTCCTGATACGGTGAGGGTCGGAGTGGCGGTCAGCTCCCTGCGGATATGTGCTGAAGAAGGGGGCTCTGTGGAGGATGTGGGGGATTTACTGTACTGCTGGTTCTCCAGCATTGGCAGCTTGGTCACATCTAGAGGAGTGAGGGGCGACTCGTCTGAGTTGGGTGAGCATTGCGCTGGTGCAGGTGGGAACACCAGCAATGGAGGCCGATGGGTCAGCAGGTTTGGGAAAGGAGCAGGAATATCACAAAGGGGAATGTTGCGAGGGGTGGAACAGCGACTGAGGGGTTCCGGGTCATAGGGTGCTGGAGTGGGACAGGCGGAACGACATCCGATAGGATCAGTGCGATATTCATGGTCGTCTAAAATGGGGTACTTCATTTCTTCATACACCGACTCCCCGGGCTCGTCATCCTCACTTTTGAGGGGCTCCCTTGGTCCAATATCGATGCCCCCCATCTCGATGTAGACCGGCTCGTCCTCACAGTCGTCTGTGGGGCTGTCGTCACTCTGAGGGGAGCATGTGCTGTGCTCGCAGGGTGAGGTCACATGATGGAGGCATTTGGACGAGCTGTGGCTTTTGATGTAGGACTCGTCAAAGGAAACGCTCAGCTGAGTGTTGGGGTTCCTCTTGGGCTTTGGAGGTGGCACCCTTTTGCAGTCCTCACTGCATCCTTGTGGTGCTGCCAAAAAAATAAGAATGTTAAAACGTAATCAATGCATTTAGTTCTACATGGCTAAACACAATTAGGCTGCATGCACTTATTATTATTCATATATAGTTAAATCCCATCTCACACCACATTTTGATTTTTTTTTTTTCTCTGTCTTCTTTGTAAAGTTAATGGAACTGACAATAAAAGGTTTTAGACAGAAACGTTTTAAAAGTAACAAATTGCATTTCAGCATTCTACTGCAAAAACTTGACAACTACTCTTGAAATGGCCATCGAGGCACCTGTGATCGATGGCCATTTCAGTTCAGCTTTTATTTTTACATTCTAAGACTCGAGATTGTAAGATTAATATAATCAGATATTTCATTTATAGTGAAGATTAATGAATCAATCACAATTCACACTGTTCGTCATCATCTTTGGAAGCACACAATAGTCCACTCTTTTTACACATGTAGTAATTTGATTCATATTCCAATCAGAGAATTAGACGGGTCAAAGGTTGGTCAATTGATACAGCTGAAAGCACATGTTACTAGTCATATATGTGTGTAGCATATGCATGTTTCTAGGTCGTACATAGCAGCAGAGCAGTATGTGAGCATAGAATCTGGGTCACACGCTGTGGAGCTTCTTTATGATAGTGGTGACGTAGCAATGCGGAGTGAAGCTCTTCAGATGTGCTGCGCAGAATCAAGACACTACTGTAGCTCTAATAGTAGTTTACTCACTCTCTACATTAGCTGCGTGCTGGATTTTAGGTCAAAGCAGAAATGTTGGGCTATGACCACCCCCCTAACTCTAGTCCTGCCAGGAAGCAGATAAGTGTAGTTAAGAGCTGGACCATGTCTGAAATCTTCAAACTGTGGATTTTTTACTTTTAATAATTCAGTTGCCAGATGGCATGGATGGCACGCTCTCTTCCTGAAACTGACTCACCATCACTTCATGCACACACAGGCTGTAAATGCATATGCTCTCAGGAAAGCATAGCACAGTTTTAGAACATTTCCACAAAAGTGACTGCCCTCTTTCCAACTATAGTGCCTATATATAGATGTATTTTTATTTAGCACACAAGCAAAAGCCCCTTTCTCATGGATGCTGCAGGACTGCGATTCTAATTCAATTCTAATTCTAATGGAAGATGTGTTTAGTGTTTAGTGTTCTTAATTTAAAGGAGCAGAATGTTAAATCCTTTGTTAGATCATATGTGTCGCCAGTTTCTTGTGAAATGGTTTGGTCTCGACCTTAACCCAACAGTTGAAGGTGTGTGTGTGTGTGTGTGTGTGTGTGTTGACGGACTGATAGATGTAGATCAATATCCAAATGTGATTACTCTGATTTTTATGAGTGATTATAAAAGTATGAAAAAGATAAAATGTCTTGTTTGGAATGACAAAATAATGGTTCTGCCTGACAACAAGACGAAAGATACTTGCTGCTTTGTTTATCACTAGCTCCTTGTTTAAACTTTAACGGTTGTCTTTGCAATTAGCTAATTATGACCACTAAATAGTTTGATTCAGTTGCGTGTCATTGTGCAGCTCAACCTTTTACAACACACAAAAGTCACATGCAGGACAATACTTTGCTAATGACAGTGCCCATGTAACAAGGGTGAAGTACATGCTATTATTTTGTTCATGAAGTTGTTTAAGAATAGATTTAAAGGGGTTTTTTATGGTTCCACATGGAGGAGAATTATAATAATAATAATAATAATATATAGCATATCAACATGATGGTGAAAAACCAACAGTGGTTGAAAGAAATTCCTTTTTCCACTGTTGTCCCGACCCCCTGGTCAAAAAACACAGGTTTTCAGTGTATATAGGCTTACTGATTTATTTAGTTTTCATCCTTTTACAGCAGTGTGGCAAGTTCTAGTTTTGGGAAGAAAATCTCAGATGTTGAGACACAGCTTGGTCAGGACTATCTAAACTGGAGGATTTGACCTATTGTGCACATTTTGGTGGTGGGGGAAATCCGAACGCTCAGAGGAAGCCCACACAGATAAATGTAATGCAGATTTCTGTGGAAGCCAAGAATACTACTATAATATTACAGTAGTATGTTGACGGTACAATGGAAGTTAATAGCTAGCCAATATTGTTATAAAGAAAACAATTACACATTTGTAATATGTCTGGCTTTGGACTGCCACCTGCTACACCTGTCTCATTGGACATGTTATGGTTTTGCATGGATAGTTCAAAGTTTTATATTTGAATATATATAACCAGCAAGTCTAAGTAAGTCCAACTAATCGTGGCACTGGGAAATTACAAAGCGTGCATTCGTACACACATTTTATGTGTGACTTTCCACATGCAGTTTGTGATCAATGACCTAAAGAAAATTTTGATTTAACTTCCAGAAATGGGGTATAAAGTGCTGCTCTGTCTAGAGAAAAAAATATGAATGAACAGGTTTTAAGGGTTTTTGCATGTATTTGTTCTTGCTTGTATGCACACTAGAAGAGAAATTCATGCAAAGTGTATAAAAATGAGGTCCCAGATGTGTGAGAGGTCAGCATCAGACTATACTGTAGAGAATTGCAGGTAAGAAGTAATAAAGTAATAACACATTACTGTAAAGCATTTTACAAAAAACAAAATATCTCAAAAAACATATTTTTTTGAGACATATTGAAAAACACTTCCCTAGTTCAATGTGCTTATATTTGAAAGTAGAACTAGGAGTGTGATATTTGTCAGATTTTGTCTGTTTTAAATCTTTTTAATTATTATTTTTTTTAAACAAAAGATAGATCTCTGCGGTTTGCACATGTATTGTTCTATGTCATGCTGAATTACATATCTTAATCTGATTCAGTGCTGACAGTAAATTCCGCTCTTCATACATCTCTTGTTGCGGTCCCCTCTCCCCCTCTCCCCCTCTCCCCCTTCCCCCCATAGGGATGTGTTTACCCGCATCGCCCTCCCCCTCCCGCTCCTCCTGGGGAAAACAGAATCTAGGTCAATCGCTCCTCCTGAATGAATTTTGCACTCGCAAGCTCCGCCTCTTCCCGCCAGAGCGCCAGCTACAGAGCACGCAACCCTCCCCTCACCCAGGGACACCCCCACACGAGCTCTCTGATTGGTTGCTCTGCCTCTGGCTTCAGCATCTCTGCAGTGTGATTGGCCTGCGCTCCACACTCATATTGTGATTGGTTGGGCTGCAGGGGGTCTTGTTTCTGTGGGATGGTTGCCGTGGTGCCCAGGAAGATCTGTGTGCATACAGAGATCTCCACCAATCTGAGCCAGCCTCGGCGAGTCCCTAAACATCACGTTGGCAACAGAGAATCAAAACGAAAATGGAGTCATGGCTTCTTGCAGCCACTGAAATCACTGCTCCCATCTCTCTCATCTGTCTCTATGACCAGTAGGGAAAAAGTATTTTTGCTATCATTTTTTATGTGCTGTTCCTGTTGACAACAAAACATGTCTGATTTTATGGATCAGGCACTGCTGTACATTACTTCTATCACCAACTAATAAGAGAATCACTTGCAGTACTATATTACTATAGTACTATATTTTCTAAAATACCTTTTTGTCTTTTCTTAATGGACTCACAGCAAACCATTTGCCCCCTTCTAGGCTGTGATTTGTCTGTAATATTTGTGAAATTGGCAAAAGTTCTCCATTTTCACTTTTTGGTTGTGATTGGTAGTTTTAAGGCATTTTGAGGACATTCTCTATTCTTCCCACCAAGAGAAAACATGACAGTCAGATGTTTCCCAAACTGCAATTACAGAACATGTGTCTGGGTCTGTCAGAATGAATGTTGAAAGGCAGAATAAGTTGTTTTTGCGTTATAAACAGTTGAGTGAAGGTACACTCCTTGTAACTGATTTGAATCCTACTCACTCAAATCTAATCCTATGGTATTTCATTTCTTTGATTGTGCTTTTTGACTTGTAAGTGCTGAATGTTGCATGGCAGTGAGCTTGTGACGTGCTGTTCCATCACATCATTATTATTCATCATTGTACCAGAGGAACCATAGGCCACTGAGTGCATTTTTGACTTGTGTGGAGTGTGCATTAACCAGCTTAGATGTCATGTCATTGTTGAGGAACTTGGGCTGAGAGGACACTGCAGAGAACATCTATATTTAGTGCACAAGTCTGGTGTGAAGTGCCAGCGCCACTCACCATCACATCTGTCCCCGCGGCAGGTGGACGTGGGATTGTGGTCCACCGCCTCGGACGACATGCTCAGTTTGGTGGCCGGGTCCCTCCTGGGTTTGGGAGGGGGCTGTTTTCTGGAGGTAGGACTTCCCACTTCCTCCTCTCCTCCTCCACCACCACCACCGCCTCCAGTGTTCCCACCACCGACGGAGTGCAGCGACTGGGAGCGCACGGAGAAGCCTTGGCCGCATGCGAGGGCGTGCGGATGTGGTACGGGCACGCGCTCAGGCGGCTCCAGCACGGTGATTGAACCCATGCGGAAATGCTTGCCTTCAGACGTGATGTCCTCGCCCGTTCTGGAAAGACAAAGAAGACAAAACAAATATGAAATAATACTTTGTGTATAGCTTTAGGTTCAAAAAGAGCGACATGTACTTGATATTTCAACAAAACAGACAAAAAAGAATGACTAGTTGTTTGATTAAAAATGCTTCATCCAGCTACCATCACAAAGGTATATACTGTAAACCTCTGAGTACAAGTAAATGACTTTATTATCCCGACCAATGTAATTGTTGGAAATGTAACTTGTTCCATCACCAGTGTCTTATTTCTTGAAGGTAAAAATAACAAATATCAAAACCCAGTTTTAAACATGTAAACAGTGTCTGCACTGGGAGAGAAAAATCCTCCAAGTTGTGATGGTGGATGTGAAGAGTGTGCATGTACTCATCCTGATGTGGTGAATGCACATGTTGTCATGGAAACACGTGATTCTACTACAAAGTGCAGAAGTGTTCTTTGAAAAAATATCCTACACTATTCCTCTTTAACTCCTTACAATTCAGACCAACACAAATGTTCAATCAGATCATAAACGTGTTCCATAACTTTATTAAATTGACAGTACAATTTTGAAGACCTCAAAAATACAATGTATGTCTGAGGAATACATCTTTTTAAAATATTAAGCGATGTTTGTGATCATAACAAAGAGCCACTCCTGAGAGTAGCACTTGCAGTTGCCTTATTGTATTTAGATTTTTTATTTGCAAGACATTAGCAAATCTTTCCGATATGAACCTCGGAAAATTTGAATACTTTTCAAAAGTCTATTCACATCTGTAATCCAACTTGTAAAATTAGTATATGACTCATTAAATCCCTCATAAAATCAGGCATTTATTTGTTTTAATGTCTATTTTTGGCTCACATCTTGTAAAAAAAAAAAACATATCAGAAAATGTGTATATTTTGAATATGGGCTGTAAGCCATAATCATCAAAATGATAACAAACAAAGGCTTGGCATATGTCTTGCATGTAACAAGTCTATATTATTGAACTTTTAAACCGTTGTCTAATTTCCAGACTTTCACCTGTGATAGTTCAAACCTACAAGATTGACATGTGAATTCAAGTATGTGAGTCCACCCATGTTGGAATCCTCATACATCTCTCCAAAAATGTGCAAATGTACTTCGACCTCATGTTTTCTCATTGGTTTGCAAAGCTGAGAATAGCCGTTGTCTATCGGGATGCAGCAGATAAAGGCCATTGATTTGTGTTTTACTGGAGTGCGGCTGGTGCTGTTGACACATTGCACACACATAATGGCACTATGGATGCCTCCCAGCTTGAACACAATCAATCCTGATAAAGGCTTGATTTGCCTGAATGAACAGTTAATGATGTCGGAGTCTGTTCTGGTTGTGATGCTGTAAAGTCATTTTGAGAGAAAATTGAATGTTTTGCTGCTTCAAAACAATAGGCGTGCGTGTGATGATTTGACTTTGTTGTTGTCCTCGTATGACTGATGGAGCTCCACCCAAAGTTTGAGGTCAGAGATGCAAATGTTTATGCAAAAGTCAGTCGCAGAGGAGAATTTGCGTGAGCACTTTGGGTCTCTTTTTGCTGGTTCATCCACACGTGCACTTGTGAGTGTTTCTGACCCCACACTGACTCTCCTCCGTCGGGACAGCTGCTAAACAGAAGGCTCTTGGTTGGTGGGATAGGTTCATTGGTCAAGGGCTTATCCTTGCCTAACAACAGGAGGTTACCCTTGGAAACCAGACACAAACCCAGCTGCTGCCTCACAACAATAATAAAGTGCACGTGCAGAACCAAGCTTGTTGGTGTGACGCAGCCTTGTAGGCAAATCACTGTTTTGTCTAAAAAGCCACCGGGGCGCCACTGTGGCTTTTACATGAGGAGCTACTCTTGCCATTTACAGCATGCAAATACTGATGTCATCAACTTAAATATGGCTGTACACAAGTTACAGAAATGCCCTTTTATATGAACTGCCATTTTTATATTTGCATAAGTCGCATCACCTCTGTGCATGTGGAGTGGAGGTGACTGAGTTATTTATAGGTTATTTGCCCAGTGATTGGCTGGGGGACACACCACAGGTGCAGATGGACTTGTTGGATAGATATTCTCATCATGCTATGTATTTTATTGCTTGGCAGAGATGTAACACACACAATGAGCGGTTGCAATGAGAATGTAATAATGAGATGTTTGGGAGGGCTTTGTTGTGGTGTATTTTCATGTCAGATATATCCCTGCGTGACAGTGTTTACACAGTCATGAAGTGAAAAAAAGTCAGAGAGCTGCAGCAGAAAGTCCCGCCTCACTCAAAGCAAAAGTGTTGATCTGATTGGCCTATGGCAATTCCAGCTGTCACCAGGCAGAACACTTGCACTCACACTGATGCTTTTTTCCTCCTTTTTATATTTTTTTCACACTTTTGTTTCTCCTAGGCAAAATTTTCTCTTTCAGACAAAGCTGCAACCTACTGTTCTCCAAGACAGACAGGGGCTTCATGATTGTCAAATCCTAGACAATTACCATGTTTGCTAACTTGCCTCATAAAAACACTGTACACGTAGAGCAGGGATTTTTTTCTGCATCTACAATATATATTTCATGCATATTATTAAAAACTGCATTGATTATTTATCAAACTAGAACAGAATTAGAATGTGAAATGGCTTAATTTGTAATTAAAAATGGTAAAATGGTTTAATTTATTATGAAGTCATTATAAAGTTTTTTTTGTAGTTGTGTTGAGCTATTTACTTTTATCTGAAGTGTTCATTCTTAAACCTTTCTTCAAAATGATACAGACTCTGCACTCTGCATGAGATTCCAGAGGCAGTTTACACAATATGATAAAAATGATACAATTCTCAAATACCAGTAATCAAGGATTGAGCCAAAGTTATATTTTGTATAAACTCCCACAAGCAGACTTGGCTTGAATTACTAATGTCACAACATCTTGAGGGTTCTTGTCCCTGTGTTTATGCTGTTCTGTTATTTTTTACCCAACATTTTTTTTAGCACAAATAAACGGTTGTTGATTGATTTGTCAATACCTTTTGGTAAAGCTTAAGCAGTGGATGAACTGCTTATGTCTGACACGTGTCCTTGTAAGCATCATTTGAACAGATCATAGATAAAATGAGGGCCTATCCACATTTGAACGTATCACTTTTGATTCTTATGATCTGGGTCTTGTTCTGAGCTTTATATAAAATATAATAAAACATAAGGGAATAACATGATTTGTTTGTTGTGATTTTGCTAGTTTTAGTAAATTAACCAGTTTCTATTGTAGCTAGTGACATAACACATTTTGACACAACAGACTGGAGCAGTTGGGTCAGTTCAGGACAGTTATGTAAAGTGCACACCAGGAGAGCTTATAAATGTGTCATTCATTTCAGAATTAGCACACACTTCATTCTTAATTCTAAAAACTTGTCTTGTCTAAAAATGGAGCAGTTGATGACCTCCTTTCAAGGACAAGTCCCAGATTCTCATGTCCCAGAACATGAGAAACAAACTTTTCTCAATGGACTACTGTGAACCAACCATCACCACAAACTCCTTAACCTCGCAATCTCATGGGGCAAGCTGACATCCCCAGACATTGTGACACAGACCGCAATGGGACTGGCTAATCTAATTCATAAAAACCTCTATATACTTTAGTAAATACGTTGTGTTCTTACCTCTTTATGGCTTCCTCCTGCTTCCTCTTTTTATCATTCTTCTCCTGAAGGTAAGTCCGATTTCTCTCATTCCTGGCATGGTCCAGGTTTTGAGCTATAAGGCCATTGTAGGCTCTCAGCCCATTCTCTTCAACATAGTGGAAAAAACGTAGAGTTTTTTCCTCTTTGGAGCTCATCATTCTTCAAGTTTGTCCACAGCATTCTGAAAACAGCAATGACATGATGTTTTAGGAATGGTTTTATGAGTGTAAATGAAATTATACATATTTCTCCTATTCACAGTAGATGTTGATGTTATTATGGTAATGTGTGCACTACTATCTATGGTTGCTGACCTTTACTTCAGCAGGAAGATCCCAAACCTGTTTGTAGCGGGAGCCATAAACCAAAGGACCCTGAAATAACTATATAGATACAGGGAGAGCATGTAAACTCCCACAACAAGTCAAACCAAGGGCTTTCTTTCAGGGAGTCCTTACAGCACCATCAGACCAGCACTGATTAAATTAGTGGATAAATAGTCCACTATCTAATGTCTAAAAAAATTGCCAATATTGATATAAGCTCTTACTCCCTAACAATATTGATTTTTGTAAACTATATAGATACATAGATAGATAGATACTTTATTGATCCCCGTAGGAGAAATTCAGGTGTCCAGTAGCAGTAAAAATGAAAAAATAAAATTGATCAATATATATATCAAAACTTCATTGAGCGTTATTGAGGAGACAGTGGTCCCCCTCTAAACCATAGCCATCTGACACATAGTTTCTTCTTATTGTGGCATTTTCTCAGTCTTATTTCTTTGTATGCAATTTAACACAACAGGAATGATAAGGAGTTGCATCAGTCTAATATTGGTGGAAAAATTCACGCTTCTATTGCAGCAGAGATGATTGGTACATTAAGGATGGTGAGTCTTGCGTCAGGAACCATCGTCTTAAGTATTTTCCCATGAGATCTCGCTACGTGATACATTCTCCGCAATCTCACACTCTTACAATCTGGTTACAGTGACAAATACGCTGCTTGAGTGTTTTCTTATTGGCTGCAGATTTGTGTGGCTGCTCGTTTTTCTCAGTTATATTTGTGCTATTTTGGGTTCAAATTACTGGTTTTATTCGTTGAACGTCTAAATAAACTTGAATTAAGCTTTCATCCCTTGAAGTTCAAATAAGTGCCAGGGCTCAGATGTGGGAAAGAGGCAATTCTCTTGGGAAAAAGCCGGCAAGATAAAATTAACCACAATTTTCAGTCAAAGGGTAAAAATACATCTCCTATATACTCTTTGTCTAAAATTGGTTCCTTGTTTCCTGAATGATATCCTTTCTAGTCTCCATACGATTGCATGCATGTACTATTGCCTGCAAGCATGTGCAACTGCATGCAACATGGCTTGTCACATGTGCAACAGCTCATGTGTGCAATTTTTGGAGGACCCAATGGACGAACGGAAGATGCTTTTATGTAGGTCAATGTTTTCAGATCAGGCTAAGACTTGTGCTTGTTTACGTGTGAGCGAAGAGGGTGAGCGTGCGTGGAAAGAGGGGGGTTGGGGGTTCTTGATAACTGTATGTAATATGTTTGTATGTGTGTGTGTGTGTGTGTGTGTGGATAGCCAAACACAGAGATGGGGGTCTTGGAAGGCAGCCAGATGGGGATTGTAAGGCCAAGTGATGAAACTATCATTGTCTGATCATCTAAACCTAATTTCCTTATTGTTTTGGATGAAGAAACCAGACACAAAGCTTTGGATGTGGACGTTTTGGCCCAATCCTGTCCTAAATCTACCCTTGCTTTTTTTGGATAATGGCTGGAATATGAACAACACAATCACCTTCTCTGAGAAACAGTTCAAACTAGGCCACAGTAACCTGGTGTCAAGTGGTGCACATTTTTCCCAAAGAACATTATCCAGTCTTATCGCTGACACGCAGAAACACTTTGAGATCTGAAGCTATATGAAGATAATACGTTTCTGTGAGGTAGAGATGTGTAAAGCGTGAGGCAATTGCAGTTCAAACAGTGCTGGGGCTGAATTAAGCCTGCCTGCCTAATCCCTGTAAGCCTGCAGCAGCACTCTGCACTGGAATCAACTTGTTTATCACATTGTTTTTTTCCCCTCAACCATCCAAGCCTTTTTCACATGAGATTGTCCTCCAATAACTCCAGGATGTGCATGGTGCAATTTGATTATTCCTGCAAAACCCAAATCAATCCAGCTTCCCTTTATCCATGGCTCTTTATCCTATATTAGATGCATATATTGGTGCGTCTCATCACTGCTTTGTACCTCTGACATGAAGGGCACATGCAGAGGTCCAATTTAAAAGTAAATTTAACTGACACCCCATTGCAGTATCCAGGCAACGATATCAAAGGAGAGGAGCAGCGTGGATATTCCCAAGACATAATGTCAAATCGATTGCAAGGGAGGCACTGGTGGTGTCACATGCAGGATTACGGTCTCACATCTATTGCATGTGTTTTATTGGCATGTCTGAGATTTCAGTTTTGAGAGTTGTGACATGTTTGTAGTGGCTATACTTACAATGAGGCTGTGTCCCTGCAGGTTTGTGGAGGTCTTCTGTTTTACCCTCCTCACTCCAGTGCACACTCTTGAGCTGTGACCTTTGCTGGAGCGCCGGCGCAAGTTGAAACCCAAATTGACATACATCCATTGTACGGTCCAGTTAGAAGTGACCCAGGTGCAGGCTGGTGCCAAGGAGACAGGGAGAGCTACGAGGTGCACAACCCGGTGATGCCTCCTCCTCCCCTGGGCGCAAAGGGGGCACTGCTGCAGCCCCTCGCTCCTCACAGTCAACTCCAAGCCGGGTGCAAGCTTCACTTCTTCACACATCTGGCCATGCTGGAGACAGATGCGGTGAGGGAGGTGCAGCGTAGCAACAGACCGCACCCCGTAACAACAAGCATGACACGGATATGCTCCTCCAAAAAAATAAATTAAAAAAAAGCAAGGTTAAACTCAGCTGCAAATGTTTTTTTGTTTTGTTAAATTACATCCCAGAATGTCTCAAAACTAAGTCAGCCAGGTCACGTATAGGTGGTTCAGATCCTCTTCGAACCTTTAGTCGTGAGAGAAAGGTACAGCGGATGGCATAAATTCCCAGGTTTGCTTCGCCCTGTCAGCTCCACACACACGCATATCCACACACCACACGCTCTCAGCTTCTGTCTATCTGTGCCTGTAGGCAGATGAGACCGGGCTTCCCAGCGATAACTCACAACAACAAGAACACGCCCACAGCCCACTCCTTTCCACCTTACGCTACGCCGTCACACTTTCCTCATTGCCTGCCAAACAATTGTCTTGTTGCCTCCCACAATTCTGCTCAGGTCCAGTGTGCGTTCGCTGCAGCTTCGTATGTCTTCTCCCACTGTACGCTGAATGGTGTTATTTTTTTCCCTTCTTCTTTCAGCACCACGGAGAGCTCACAGATTGTAGGGTGGAGGTGGGGGTGGGGGGTTGAGTGGGTGGGCATATGAGAGAGGGCCAAGCAGAGAGATAGAGTAGGAGGAGGAGGAGGGGGAATGGAGGGTAGGTAGGAGGGAGGAGTCACTGGGTTGCCAGGGTGTGACCTCATTAGACAGAATCACCAGCACCCCATCTTTTTTTTCACCCCTCCCTTTCTTCGTCTCATCTCGTAAACAAAACCACCACAAGAATATCTTAATACAAACAATACATTTTCTTCATAGTTTTGGGGAGTGTGAACCCAAATTGTGCTCCAGTCTGGTAGTTACAAACATTTGAATATGTTTGCATAGACAAACAAAACACAAAAGAGAGTTCCCAGTGGCCACAGTGAACCCAAGTTGTCTGTATATGTGAGAAATGCAACAGTAGTTTTTGTCCCCCCTGCTATTAAGGCTGGGGCATTGAGTTGTTTATGTGATCGGAGTGTCTGGCGATAGGGAGGGGTGGAGGGTGGTGGTTGGAGTTTGGTTGGATGGATTAAACACCACGAGCACAAAAGGATTAGGCATCAGAGATCTGTTGTTTTCGTCGACCCTGGCCTGCAATTTCTCTTAACCTCTGGCGATATTCTCCCCTCCTCCTCCTCCTCCTGCTATTGCTCATTCTGTCAATGTCAGGGAAATGTTAGAGGTCACATGTAGGGAGCTTAGGCGATTCTTGTTGGGAAGATGCTCATTATAGTTCCTGCGTTGATTCCTAGAAAGGCACAATGAATGAATGTTGGTCAAAAGAGCCTCATGGCATAGATGAGTTTAAAAGGGCAGAGGTTAAGCAACATACAGTATATGAAGTGTTATCCTTGTAATGCATTTGCAGGAAATACATAATACAAGCATAAACTCGAAGTGATTTATACGCGTTTAATAAATAAGTTGCGTGTGAAAGCTTGCCAGACTTACCTGCCAACAGAAAAATTTAGGATTATTAAGATTCAATCGAGGATAAAAATGGTTCTATTTGGTAGTGCATGTGATTTATTGGATCTGTCTAATTTTTTATTAGCGTTTAGACATTTTTATTGTGTATTTTATATATGATTTATCTGTATGTGTATTTGCACAGATTTGTTTTGGGCTGTAATGTATATCTTAATCTTTTTTGGATGCTTGTTTCTATTGAATTGAATTAAATGTATTTTTGTATAGCCCTAAATCATTGTTTTCATCAAATTGTTTGTTTTTTGGGTTATGGTGAAGCACTTTGAATTGTGCTGTACAAGTAACATTTCACTTGAGTTGATTTGAAGGACCATTTACTGTTTCAGTGTTTTGGTTTTGCAACACTGAAAAGAATCAGAAGCAGTTTTGCAACCTGCTTTTAATACATTTTAAAAACATGATATTTTATTAGTTGCATTGTTTTATATTGTGCACACAAACATAATATACCCACAGTGGGAGAAATGCAGTTGCACAGGTGGAGAACAGATTCTAAGGGAGCACTCAAACCAAGATATACATAACTGCAATTATGTAGAAAATAACTATCACCTTTATGCTTTAAAGTTCTTAGCTGCATATTGCAAACCTAATACAGTTTTCTATTGCAGAAAAGGAGAAACGATGCAGAAGTATGAGACATTTGTTGCTATTTTTAAACTACATACTCAACTTGATCAGTTTTCCCTGCAGTGTAGGGGTCAAAAGTCGTATCAATGTAAAATACATCATATTTCAACTAGATTTTTATTTGTTCAAGTATTCAAACAGAATAAATGCACAAACAGGACAACATTTTACATTTCTTGAGCATCCATTGATACAAGCTAAATGAAACTCAGAAAATTAGATTATCGACCAAAAGTCCATTTACTGCAAAGTGATATATAAGCCTTTTGTTTTCATTGTTGATGATTGGCTCCCAGCTTGTAAAAACCCCAATAAAACATCACATGATTACTAATAATAATACTTTTATGAACTTTTGAACAGCAATCTAGTTTTACAAGTTTGACCTGTAATAATGTATACAAAGAATCATAACATAATTCAAGGCAGGATTTCTGGTGCGTACTATCCTGGTGCACCCTGGGGTAGTCTTGCACAGTTTTTCCAATGTGGTTCTACTGCAAATGGCAAATAAATTCTTGAATCTTGAATGATTGTGCAACATTTTCAATATCGTCCAGCATCGCTCTGCTTGACCCAGTAATGTACGCAGTGACTGGATGAAATGACAGTAGCGATGATCTCATTGAGCTCAAGTGATCCATCACCCCTTTTTCTGCCCATTGTGGTATCTGTGGTTGACTGGCCCAGCACAAAGCCCGCACACACACACACACAGCACGCCGTGACCTCAGCCTAACGCCGTCTCAAAGGAAGTACTTAGATCCCCTCTAACTTCAATGAACACACACAACAAGGAAATATAAAAGGGTAAAGGCTCAAACATATTTTTCCACCTACATGCACAACACTATTTTGTTTTGTGAACGGTTTGGGACACTCCCACTGGGACAAAACTCAGAGGGTGAGACGAGATCCAAGAAGCAGAGTTTTGAACACATGCAGAGAGTAAAGGAGGATTCAGACACTCATTTAAATTCATTACTTTTAAATAATCAATTATTTATAACTTTTTATAACACAAAACACACACAAATCCTGGGCATTAACAACAACAAAAGAAATACATATGCCTGCTTTAACTATGTAGTCTCTTAGGTCTGAGAATTGGACCTGATCCTCTTTAGGCCCTCTTGACTTTTCCATGTGACTCTAACTGCATGTAAGATTCATTTTATTTGCCTTTTGCAGTAAAACCACATTGGAATACATTCAAAAGCCTCATCCCGTCAGATATGAGAAGCTAAACAGGGAGGGGCATGGTTAGAATAGTGATGGTAGACCGCTGACAATATCAAATGGCATAGTGGAAGGTTGGAACGTGTCAAACTGTCATTGTATCCTTAGGCAAGACACTTTGCCCACAGGTCTGCAGTCTGTGTGAGTGATTGGTTGCGGTCAAAGAGGCCTTTGGCACACATTAGTAGCCTCTTTTTCATCAGACTGCTCGGAGGAGCTGTGGCGACTGTTGTAGTTTACCACCACTATGTAGAAAGGGAAGGATTAATACCATGCATTATAAAATGGCTGCATTAGTATAAACATAAACAATGCGTACAGATAAAAAAAAAAAGTCAGACTGAGTATTTGCACACAGACTATATTGCCTTTGGCAGACGTCTGCTTGTCCGTTTAATCATGCATGTAATGGTGCGGTATTGATCCATGCAGTAACGGGCTAATGAATAGTCCATAAAAACATTACAACAATCAATTACGAAAGTGGACCTTGTCTTTCTCCCGAAGGGTTTAAAACGCCTATAGTGAAATGATCATGCAGAAAGAGTCAGACGGGACTTGACTGTGGCACTGAAATTGTAATTTGCCCATTAATGATGTATTAGTTACTTCCACTGCTCATGTCTGGAGCAGAGAAATGGAGCGTTACTGACCAGTAATGTGCCACACCTGACCACTCATGTTTAATGTAGACATTCAACACATAACAGGAACTCAGAGGCTCATAAATGCACCAAATCTGGATCTCTGTTGTATATATATATATATATATATATATATATATAAATAAATAAATGCTTTTCATTTGCACATGATTGATGACTGTTTTCACATCAATTAATCTCAGTCTAAGTCTCAGTCAAGCAGAGACTTGTCCAACAGGAACAGTTCACTATCACCGAAAAGAGGCCATAACAGGAAAGAGTCTCTCTGGCCATAAACACAAAGCACTTTCATGCAATCTGTCAATGTCCAGTATTTATGATGTTATACGAGCTGGAACAACAGGTATTGCGATAGCGTAAAGAGACAGATACAAACCTAATCCTCGAATATTTGGCCATATGTAGGGCAGCGCATTGACCCTAATGTGAACTATGCCTATAGCACTTTACACAAACCTCGTGGAGCCAGGTGCCAGCCATCCAGCCAGGGACCAAGGGCGATATAAGGAATCAAATAGCGCCATCTGCTGTTAAGATTTAATATTAACTGTACATTTTCTCTTGCGTTGAAAATCACGATTGGGTTGAGTACAAATGCAATATGGGTATTGATTATAATGACAGAAAACGAAAATGATCGTCCCGACAAATGCAACAGTTGTTCTACATAGACACCAAAAGGCTTTCACTCAAAAAACTACAATTCGGGTCAATATACAAACGTCCAACTCATTTATGAACTTCGTCCATGGACTAACATTGCAATATAATCTGCTGCCTTCGTGACAACCAAATGATTCACATTATCCTTTCTCCTCCAAATCTATATTGGGAATGTGTGGTGATCCTTTCATGGCCACAAGATGGCAGCATGACGCACCTAATGGTTAGTGCGTGTCCACCTTTACTCACTTCTCTAAACTACACCAGGAGCAAATGCCTGATTCATCTACTATGTCCATGTTCCTCCATCATTGTCTCATGCCGGAGCCCATTGTGTCCTACTTACAGAGAGTTTGTGTCAGCCTCTTTTGGCAGATTTGTTCTAATCGGACACAGTCCAGAGTAGAGATGAGGCGCTTGGCTGAGGGATGAGGTAAACAGAGAGGGAGGGAGGTGCGCAGCGCGCCGCGGCTGTGGATCACACATGCAGACGAACTACTGCAAGTGTTGTGCTTTAGCTCACACCACTCCGTGTCCCAGAGTCTAGAGAAGAGCCAGGGCTGCTGACTGCGAGGCGTCTCACTCATCACAGCCAATAATGTGACAGTCAGACGGGACGTTTATCAGATGTTTGAAGCCATCGCGTGTTGCCTTGCTCCACACAGTTTTCCGTCACTTTCCTGAGTGTTATCCACGAGGATACCTGCTCTGAGATGCGGCAATGTCCCGAGGAGCATGTCCACGCGTGAACTGTTGCGGGCTCCTGTGGAGCGTAGTGGCGCTGCTCTTTGGCGCACACGTCTGTCACGTGCACGCCTATAGCTGTCATGAAGTGAGGACCGCTTTCCAGCTTCGCTCTGTCGGACCAGTGAACCGCGTTCCAGAGGCACCTGGCGTAGGTAAGCAGCGACTGAGGTCCTCCAAGTCACAAACTTACCAGTTACTACATGTCATGGATGTCCTCAACTTAGAGCCAACGCCACTACTTACACCTGCCTGTATTTACCCTGTGCATTGTATATTGATATAAATTCTCAAAATAATACATGTACTCCATACTTCACACAGTTCCAAATATGTTTGGATAACTTTTTGCATCCATGCCTCTGAGGTAGACTGGTTGCAGATATCTGCCCTGCTGTAACAGAGACAAGAGCTGGGGCATACCTAGAGGTGCATCTCGATCATTTGATCTGTTTGTTTAGCAGAATGTCACCACTAGCAACCAGGCATGCAAATTTCTTTACAAGCTGTCATTTAGCATAAGCCCAGAGAGACGACAGGAGCCGGTCTGAAGATGCCAGCTTAGGAGCTCTTGTAGCTGATCAGCTCTGCATCAGTCTGTCTGTGCATTTGTACAGATCGTCCAAAAATGTATGAATCTCATAAGTACTGTATGTACTGAGAGCTGCTTTCTTTGATGGTCATCCTTACCATGACTGTTTTGGTCTTGTGTTGCTTTTTTTTTCTTCTCTTCAGGTCAGACCTCAGGTTTTAGGTCAGAAGTGATTTAATCTTCAAAGTAAAAGCCTCTGGACTGGTGTTGAGAGTGAGTTATTTGGTATAGCTGCAAATATACACAATTATGCGACTCTTCCGAGCATCTTAGATGGAATGCCAATATAAGCAAAAATTGAAAATTGAAGTGGTCAAACCCCAAGCCTTTTTCTGAGGCGTGTTTCATCCTTCTACTCTGAACACTTTCTCACAAAGATCTCAAAGTATGTTGATTTACCAATAATATATTTGGTGTTTATAATTAAAGTGTCTTCAAGTGAATATCATTGCCAAGTTTGGTCTTTCACCTGGGACTTCAAGATGCTTACCCAGTGATTACTTACTACATCACTTTGGAAGCACCAGCATATCCTGCCAAAAGCTCCATATTGAGATTACCCTGAAGCGGTGAGATGGCTCCTTGGAGGGAAACAGGCAGCCAACAGTTCTGATCTTTGTCACACAAGCTTTTCTTGGCCTCACGCACATTCACTGATATGATCTACCAGTCCGAGCAAAGCTAATGTATTGTGCAAGATCTCTGCTATCATTAACAATATTACTTTTGGGGGTTGCCACCACAAGATTGTGGCTGAGGCATCAGGCCAATTTATGCGAGATTTCGAATAGAGGGTGATTTTGTGTGGGCCAAACTGTTGCCTAAACATCAAGACAAATATGTTCATACTTTGGAGTGAAGAGGACTCTGCAAACACACAGCTACACTGCTGTCGGACCAAGGTTGCAATAAAACCCATTTGATAACATTTAGGGTACATCTTTGAAATCTACTCTATACACCCAAAACAGACAGAGCAGAGCTTCTATTTTTCCAGATTTCAAACAATTGCTTTCTTCCTGCATGCCTCAATCAATGCTTTGAGCTTAGTGTTGTGTGCAGACGTTACGTGCTTTATGACACTTACATGCTGGAGATTGTAAACTTAATGCAATCTCTTCTGTATAAGTTATGCTCTCTCAAGTCTAAAAACTGTTCTCTGCCAATGCGCAGTATGTTGGCAGGATTTGCTTGTGGTCTTGGAAAATTAAACATTCCCAGTAGGTTTTAATGTTGCTGAAAAATGCAGGTATGTAGCAGAGGCAATTTCAGGTGTGTTTATATATGCCTGGATCCATCTCAAACATGGAAAAAAAGTGCCCAGAGTCAACATCCTGTATGTTCGCTGCTTCAAAGAGTCATAACTTCCTTCGGTAGTGGGAGGAGACAGGCTAATTGGTCAAATTTTGACAAAGTTACTTTTGTGAAAAGTCCACTTCGTCTTGAAATACACCACCTTTATAGAGTATTACTCAGATTATAACATTATTTATTACAGGTCTTAACCTTAATAGATATGCTATTCACAGCATGTATTGTATCTTTATATTGTCCTAATTATAATGTTGTCCTACTAAAAATGAATAATAATAATGTACACATCAATTTGCTATTAGGCTTGTTATACAGCAGCAGTTCCTCTGCCAACTTGTTCAGTGAAGGGCATTGAGTTGTTTACTAATGGATTTTGACTAATGACTCCTAAACCATGTGATTATTACGCTAATTACACCCATGGCATTTGGTTGGTCAAAGATTAAACAGGGAAGCAGAAAAGAGCTAATCTTGGATCATTCTCATGGTATAACATAGAACAAAATGTTTAAAGGACAAACCGTAATGTTGGTATTGGTTTAAATTGTTTCCAATATTGGTGATCGTCAGTCTCTGGCAGCTGTGGCTTTACGGTATTTAATTCTCTCTGTATCACTTACTCTAAGCAGCCTCGCACTTGTGACAGGAGGCAGGCAGAATTCCACAGACAATTCCTGGCGGAGCCTTTCATATCAGTAATAAAACACATACTCATAAGGCAGAACGTGTTGCAGTTTAGCCAAAAGTATATGGCTAATATCAAAGTTTGATGATATGATGTTCTTTGGAAAGTGAGTATAGCCATTTCAGGCATATTAGCAATATACCTTATGTCCAAGCAGTTGATTTTAACTATAGTTTTTGGACCAAAGTCACTGTGACTTGCCAAAATAGTGCTAAAAGAAAACTGTCCAAGAACAGTCCTGCCATAGAACTGGATGTAATGAGCTAAAGGGGCAGGGCGGCCAGTTATGACTTCACTGGTCTGGCTCCGAGATGGGAACAAATGGAGCCTCACTGGGTAATTAAGAGACACCCAGGCCTCGCAGGGATATGCCAGGCAAATGGACAGAGGCAGCAGAAAGGGAAAGAGGGATCCAGAATGCAACCCTATTGTGTTTCATGGAGGGATTTGGACAGAGAGGCACTGCTCTTGTGGTCTGTCCTTAGGCTACGCTATAGGCTCTAGTTACAACACCTGCCTTCATCTGCCCCCTTCCATTGCTCCAACTGTGAAATGAGTTATCATTTCAGAGCGTTCCATAATGGAAATGCCTTTCAAAATATGAGAACTTTGGCAAGATACTGATGAGTTAAGCTATTTACTTGTGACCATTAGAGGTGAGGTAATGACAGTTCTATATTGGTGTGAACAGGTGGTATGGAAATGTAGGTTGCACTTGCCCTTATTTTGCCAATTACCTCCTATTTAAATATAAAATATTTATATGTTTACAATTTGAACAAATCCTTAGGTCTATTCCTTTATGTTCAAAAACAAAAGTTAGGTCTACATTGTTAGACTGTCATCTACACTAGAACTTTGTCTGCGTTGTTAATAGTCAGAGACAGTATTTATAGTGGGAAATGCTGATGAATTCTTGGTCTGCTTTCTCACCCTCCCATAGCGCCTCTTCTGTCTCCCAATGGAGTTATGGCTTGTCTGCCTATGTGCATACCGCTGACTAAACTTGCACTCTTCATTTGTTCAATGATCTATGTTCACTGTAAATGCATCATTCATGGGACAATATTTCACCTATTGATGTTGATATTGATATTCTTAGTAGGAAACCCTAATGCATTCAATTGAATGTGTGTTATAGATGTGGATCTACTGCTCTGCAAGCATCCGGGACTGTCCTGCTGCACTCGGAAAATGGAGGAGAGTTACCTGATTGCTGTCAAACGAGAGACGCTTCACAACATCCAGTCTTACAGCTATGAGCTCGAACACCTCTTCTCAGGCCACGCCGATGCCTTTCAGGGTGAGTGTGAAGGCAATGACCATCTCTGTTTTTAGAGGAGTTCATTTTTAGCCATTAAAATAATTCTGTATGTCTGAGTCACAGAGACTTAGATCGCAAGAGTGCTCTAACAATGGTTCATTAAGTTTTCATTTATTTTTCCTTTTTTCACTCCTGACAGTTCTGTGCTGTCACAGTATCCCCATCTCTATTGTTGTACTGCACATGGAGATAACTAAACCTAATATTTTGGATTTGTATGCTCTGGTTACTATGAAACATACTGAAGAAATGCAAAAATAGCTTACCAGTGATTAGTTATGTGCATTGTTAAATTCCTTTATAGTAGGAGTATTGCTAAGTGATTTGACAGGAAAGTAGCAGTGGTATGTATTTCTTCATAGATCTTTCCTTTCTTAGCTCATGTCTGAGCCTGTCCGGAGGATGGGAGTCAGGTGCTCCACATGTCCACAAGTGGCCAAGATGGAAAATAACAATGGATAAAGTAGAAATTATGATGTCATCATACCACAATTTCAGGCCTTCTAAGGACAGTGTCTGTAAAGTCCAGTGCCCTGGTAAGAATACACCTTGGTGTATTTCTTTAGCAAAGAAACAGCAGGATTTAGTCATTGTTTCCAGTGATTCAGTATGCAGTTTGTTCTTAGAATATTCATTCAGGGTCTATTGTTTTGGCTCCATGTATAAAAGCAATTTCTTTCTTTTGTCCTTTTGAGGTATGCCTACAAACACACTCTACATGTTTGTTGTCTCTGGCCTGCCTTTGTTGAGACAGAGCAAAGGGCCTACTGTGCTCTGTTATATGTGGAGTGTGTGGAGTGTGTGTACGTATGACGGAGATGCTCAGATTACACACTTTCTTGATGATATGGTAATGGCGAGCAACAACTCTATAGTTACGTGTGTATGGTCTAATGTGATGTATATCTATGAGCCTCTCGAACTCACTATAAGCAAAGCCAAGTATACATGTATTTATTGTTATCGCTGGTTTGTCTGGCAGCTCTCACTCCGTCTGTGATCTCTTTAGCTTCGCCGTCGCACCTCATCATCTCTTCCTCCCACTACCATGTCTGCACTGCTTTTTCTCCGCAGATGTTTTGACCGACAGGGATATTGCTCTAGAGGCTGACGCTTGGACACAAGATGACATTGTACTGCACCATGAGGTCATACACAAATTAGGGAGGATATCCGGAATCTATCCCTACACGTCTCATTTAATCATAGAGGGTGTGGAGGGAACGTGTTTATGGACCTAATAGTCCAGTGATCACATCGCCTGTGAGAGTGTGCGTGTTGGGGTTTTAACAACGCCTTTTGAGTCTCCTGAACAGACATGACATACACAGGCTGAGCTCTGTCTCCGTGTTAACAAGGAGAAGACTCACTGGAGAATGCAGGAGAGGGAGGAGATGTGAGATTCAAAGTCATGTGCCACATTGAGGCTAATGACCTCTGCTTTCTATTGAAACCCTAATGTGTGAAAGGGAGCAGAGTGTTGCACTGAAGTATGTTGGTCATTTCAAGTGCTCGCAGGTGTGTTGACGCTGGGTGTCATGTGTGATGTGTTGGTATGTGTTGGGTTTTCAATGAGGCTCGCAGGTTTAACAGGCTCTAGGTGTGGAGAAGAATGTCTTTACAATGCAGGGCTTCTTCAGAGGTTCTTATATATGCCTTTAGAAGGGGTGGAAACACAATATATCCCATGAGCAGGTGGGAATTGTGTCAGTGACATGTGTCTTAAAGATTACTATACAGCTCAATATTGGCACAGTCTGATGCAAGTACTACATTTTTTGACAAGAGTGCGATTGACAAAAGTTAGATGATCTTAAAAGTAAAAAAACCCTAACCCTAAACCTAACCTTAACTAAGTAATACAATCTATGTCACCACTCCCTTCTGCTCAAAATGGTTTGGTTCTAGATCTATAGCTATTTATAGTTGTTATATAGCTATTTCAATGAAAACGAGAGAACCCCTCACTCAAGCTGCCAGCTCTCATATGTTCATAAAATCACACCACTACAGAGATTATTTCTGTTAGAACAAAGAAAAAATCATGCAAAAAAAAAGGTAAGCCTCTCCAGTCTGATTTGTTTATATTTTTTGCGTCCAATGTACAGTTTAAATACATTTTCCATCAGACATAAATGTTGAAACACACAACAAACTTAGAATAACATTTATGTATTTCTCAACATAACGCAATGGTGTAATCTCCCCATAATTGACATTGAAGGTGAACTTAAGAAAGCTGATACGGTTACATATGCGACTGCCAAAATCAGTCATCATTCTTCTAATGCCCCTTGAGTCTTTAGTTAACAACTTGTCTATGCCTGAAACTAGAAGAGTGTGGATAATGTCCAGTTATGTTGTTTTGTAATGAGACTAAAGGCTCATGGGGCTTGTTCTCGAGCCACAATATTTGGACATGTCTGGAACATATTGGTCTTGTCCTTGGGGATTGTTTCTCTAATGCTGTTGATTTGTTTGGCCTGGCTATTTCCTGTGTCCTGCTTGACTCTGCTGCTGTCTCTCCCCAAACCAAACCATTGTTGTAAATTATATCTGTGTATTGGGTGGTTAAAAGAGCTTGGATTCTTGCGCAGAACTGTTGGCAAGATATGTGTTCCCATTCCAAGTTTATGCCTGAGCATTACAATGACATGTTATTGGTGAAGAAAGCTAGCTGGTCAGTAATTGTCTATGTTTGCGTGACAACCGTGAGAAGTGTGGGTGCCCTGCCTCTTGGCTCGGGTGCAGACCTATGATGTCTGTTAAAGATCTCCTTGTGACTCATGCTTGTGCTTGTGCCTGGTTCTCGGACAGAGCTGGCCATTTCACATCCACTCACTTCATCATCCCTTCATCAGTTTCCATTCAGTTTCTGTTTAGTGTTTAGTGTTTAAGTCCTCTTCTGCCAGCGGTTTATGGCGGAGACCAAATCTGTGCTCCTTGTTTTTCATTAGGAACTCCCTATTGTATCGTAAAACTAATGGTATCCTGTTATTCAGCCATACTCCTGTTGAGCAAGCATTGACAAAGGCTAGTTTGATTTTCATGACATCTTTAAATATCAGTTAACGGTTCTTTTGAAAGACATGGTTAGACCTATTTACCTTATATTTACTTATTCTTTGCAGTCATCTTTTTGTGACAATAATCAAAGCATTCCTTAAAGGTGTTGAAGCCTCATATAGAATAAATTGAACCACCTGTTTCGAAAGTTAATTTTAATGGAGCCTTTTCATCTTGGCTTCATTTCACACCTCAAAGAGTCCAGTTCAAGTTAATCTTAATATGCCAGCCTACAGTTTCCTTGTATAATTTGTGCTCACTAGCAAATTAGCAAGTACATATGTGATACAGCTATAGACCACAAGCAGGTTTTAATTCATGTATCAATCTTTGGCATTATTATTCTTGTAGGGCTGTGGGTTTTTGGACAATAGTGAACCTGGGTGCATAGTGGTTCATAAGCTTAAACATGGGTTGTGGAATAAAAACAACATTTCAAAGCCAATTTCATAATCTCAATCTGTAATCCGTCAAGAATTTGCAGATTCTTTCAATGTTTTTCATCATCGGATGTTACAGCCCAATTCAAATCCATGCATCTAATTTTAATAACAGTAATCAGTCTGCAGCAGCCATCGAGATTATCAACACAAGTTCACAATGTTGTCCATTTATAGTATTTGCTAAAAGATAAAATAAGATAAGATAAGACTTTATTGTCCCAAGGGAAATTTGCTGTGTGTTTGGGTTAGGGTGTGCTACACAGATCTGCATGAATGAATAAAAATATCAATAAAAAGTAATATTACTGTAAAAAAACATAGACGTAAGTGCAGTAGTGCTTTGAAGTCTCTGTTTGGTCCAATTCCGCATCAAAATAAATAATAGGTCCTGGATAATAAAAACAGTTATACAGTTTTAGAATTTATTAACTTATTTTTATTCAAAAGGGCCACTGATGTTGAGTTGCATAAAGGTGAGTCCAATACTTATAAGGTCATTGCCCCAAATGAAATAAAATAAAATAAAGTGGGTCATTCCCTTTTTGTGTCTCTTTGAACTAATCCATGCAACACCAGATACCTCTCCGTAGAAATGTTCTGAAAGCTGCCACATAATATATTACATCATGCTGTGCTGTGGCGGGGGTCACACCAGGCCTGTGCCATGTCAGAGCAGAGCAGCAGAGGCGCAGTTCATCAGTCTGTCAACAGTGTGCCACACAGCCAGTCTCCGCATTTCCCCTTTATGGTCCGACCCCCTCCCAGTCCCTCTCACGTCTGCTCATCCCATGCCTTCGATCAGGTTTCTCCGGTCGGGCCATACCACAGTGCAATGATCCCCGGCCCAATTTCCACCTCAGCTCCCTATACCAGCCACCCCACCACTGCTTCTGGCATCTGTGGAATTGTTTATGTTTAGGAGTTCTGATATAGCTGTAACATATTATTAATTTGAGGAATGCTGACTCCCAGATTTTCATCCATGTCATGCCCGTCTCCTCCCCCAGAAACCTTCAGTTTCTCATGTGCACATGACTGTACCTGTTGACGACATGGAGCAAGAAAAGTCGAGGGCACTACAATTCAGGGCAGAGGTGAACTGGGATTTGTGCATTTGGATGCGTCTGTAACTAACAGCGTTTTAGCTGCTACTTTTGCCTTAGCAACACGTCTGTTTTCTGATGGATGACTCATGCAAGCAGTTAAAGCTTCGGTACGTGTATTTAATGCAGTGTGATGATGAGTCATTGAGTCGATTTTAGTTCATGATTGAGGTCTTTGCTCAAATGCTCAAATATGAATATTGCATGACAAAGCAACTATCCACAGTATCTTCATATGCACCAGGCTGAGAGGGATTGGGAGATAAGTTTCTGTACAGTATGACTGCTAATTAAAACAAGGATACGTAATCGCCACACGTGTCTCTGTGTCACATATCTGTGTAGTGACCTGAGTGAAACACTAGCCCTCTGCAGGATTAAATGCTTTTACCTTGGAAGACACTTGGTCAGGCCTCGCTGGGAACCAGTGCCAGGATAGGAATGGCCTACAGCTTCATGGTATGAGAACAGTGTCTCCAATCTCATTATCGCAATATTACTGCATCACCACATGCTCTAGTGGAGACTTGTATGCCATGGCACCTCTGTGAGCTCACACGACAGTTGAAGTTGCCAGTGTCATTTTTCCATGACAAGTTATCCAACAGCAATGAAAAATACCATACACTGTTGATGATCTGCTGTAAAGGATCAAGTTTATAAACCTCATATCTGAGTTTGGAAAATCTCACTTGCAACTAATTTCAATGTGTACATCATACGCCATGGTCTGACTAAAGTCATGGGTGAATGTTTTGGTATCGCTGTTTGTTGGACAATTTTTAAAAAGAACCAAAATCAGAAGATTGACACAACAATGAATACATTTAATTGAAAACCTCCTCCAACATTCACAGTTTTTTGGACCATAGAGACTTTTTACAAATTGCACTTCACCAGAAGTGCAAAGTTTATTGTGGGAATTCAGTGACACAGTAATGAAAGCCAGTCCCCTGCTCTGTGTGTGCGGAGTGTCTGAATGCAGCGCAGGCTTCTGGAGATCCGCCCACTGTGGTTACATCAAACAAATCTTAGCATCACTAGATTTAAATAGTGTTCTTACAAGCCTTCCAACTTTGTTCATTCACATGACAGTGACATTGTTACTCGGGATGTCGCAATCCCACATTCTAAAAACATATACTGTATGTTTTAAAATTTATGTTTTTTATCTATTATTATTTATCTATACCAGGGGTCTCAAACCGGTTCCAGAAAGGGCCAGTGTGGCTGCAGGTTTTACTTCCAACAGTTCCAAACTGAGCAGGAGCACAGATGACTCCTCCCATTCCTCAAATCTTCAGGTTAAAACTGGACTCACCTGAGGAAATGGGTGGAGTCATCTGTGCTCCTTTCTGCAACCGGTTTGAGACCCTTGATCTATACAGACAGGGCTGATGAGAGGTTCCAGACTCTCTCAATGTGGTCCCGCTACCAGGAGCCAGGGGTATACGCATGTCCCCTCGAGGCAGAATAGTGCCAGCTTCTCTGCACTTCTGGGGATCCATACTAAACAAACAAGCAAACCCCATAATGATACATTACCCGATAATGGTACTGTTACTATCTTTCTACTGCATCTGAAAGCTGGATATACAACTTTTTGGCTTGTAACACAAATGTGCATCCCAGCTTTATTTGTAAGTGCAGTATACACCAAATTACTTGGTCAGTGAAATGCACTATACATTTAAATATGACTGAGATTTCCTCCTTAGAGCTGATCAAATCCACTACACAAACAAAATGCCATATATTAGGACTTGTCGTGTGAGTAGTGAGCACAGCAGGTCACGCTCTGTGAAAAGGCAGTTTTATATTTAAAGAAGATAGTATGTCTGAAATATGTGAGGAGACAAAGGGATGTGCAGTGAACCCAGAGGCCAAACGAATCCAGATGTGTACAGTCACAAGGTGCAGTGCACTTATACAGTAGTGTTGTTTTTCTTGTTGAATATTTTAGTTGCTGCTTAGTTTTGGGAGGGTTCTGGTGGATAGTTCCCAATGTCTTAGTTGTTTTGTCATCCTGCCTTTTAGATAAATATTTTCAATGTAGAGCTGCAAAGTATGACACAACGTTTGAGCAATAGCCAGTATCAAACCCTAATATTCAACTCAGCATCCACCCAACCCAAAGCTTTCCATCACCCTTTCTCTTGTATTGAATTTGTATTTAGTGCATATATTCAAACATAGACGTGCAAATTGTGAAAAGTGTTGAAACTCAAATTTAAAAAAATATGGATTTCGATCCATATTCAAGACTGGTATGAAAGTGAAATGTTTTTATGAAATTATTTTGATAATACATTAGAGCTTAATATACGAAAAATATTCACAATGTTTTAGATTTCAGTATGACAATTTATTCTTACTCAAAGCAACAGTGCATATCCATTGTCTATAGTACAATACTGTCCTTTGAGATATTGGTGGGCCGGGTCCTCATGATTTAAGTGGACCATTGTTGAAAAGACTCTCTCAAGAAAAGATCATTTTACGGCCGTAATGGAAACATACGTTAAGTTTCAAAATCTGAAATTTAAATTATTTTCTAAGATATTGACGCTACTGTGTTTGATTCAGTTAATGTTCATGCAGAGATTTGCGTGCGGACTTCTGGACATTACTGCCTCATAGTGATGATTCTAATCATCATTTAATATCACACTCTGTCATGGACTATAACCTTATTAAGTGAGTGCCTCTCGGGTGTCTGCTTCTGCATGTGACCTGTGGCAGTTCCCCACAAATCATATCTCATGTCTCCGTCTGCTGTCATTCTATTACAACCAGACGTTACTCATGGCCTTCAAAAGCCATTCAAAATGTTTTATATATCCAAATGGCTCAAATGATCCTTGTGTGGGTGCCACTGCAATCATTACAATGCTTTCAGAGTCAGCGGTGCCTTTCACTGGTCTGTGGGGAGTCCATGTGTCACAGACAGTGGTCATATTAGTGCAGCTGTTGAGGAGGACATGTCTGTTGTTATTAGCTGGGAGGGGCTGGACACACACACACGCACGCACAGGCAGGCACAGGCACGCACATTTACAGACACTCATAGACACACATATATACACACACACACAGGCAAGCACACACACATTTGCAAGCACATACGCATTTGCACACACACACACACGCAAATTGAGGTACGCACGCACACACACACACCCACACACAGGCCCGCACATGCACACACACACACTCACACACATGCCGTCACGCACACATAACACACACACACATGTATATAGAAACATGCACACACACACACACACACACACATATATAGGCACGCACATGCACACACTCGCACACACACACACTCACACGCACACACTCATACCTGCAAACATACACGCACACACACACACACACATGCACGGCAACACACACACATGCAAGCACGCACACACACATACCACCCACACACAACACACACACACGCACACACAAACACACACTGACACACACACAAACCCACACACACGGTGCCCCATGTCTTTGTTGACGTTATAAAGTCATATTTTGACGTAATATGTAGCTTCAACCAGTAATGCTCTCGTATGAATGAACTCTTCTTATATATAGCCGTACACAGGAGGCTAATGAACAGTGGGGGCATGGGTAAACCCACCTTCTCCAGTTTCAATTTCTGTACAGTTGCTACTGCTCCTTCATGTTTTGGCATGGCTTTTGGCTGACATCACAGCTAAGAGGAGAGTTCTGAGCCCAGGGCACAATCACAGGGCACTAACTAATGCTTTGAAAATAAAAGATGTGTGTTTTGTTTATTATACCTTTTGCTGTATTCAGTAGCAATACATCAAAAGGTATGATAAACCTCAATAAAGGGGGTATCAAGGAGCTAAAATTCATTATGGTGTGTTCACGTGACCTATAGTTAAAGATGGTGATGGAGGGCTGTGGAAAAGTCTTTCCTGGTAACTATGGTAACAGTCAAATGTAATTTCTAGTCTTAGTTTAGCGGTAATTTCTCTGTCATTTCTTGGCCAATCCACCTGAAACCCAATCTGTGGCAAATTTCCACATTGTCTTTGTCAGTACATATCATTGACGGTCTAATTATTTTCTCATAATTGTGAATCTAACAAAGCTCTGGAAGAACATTTGGACATTTTTTTTTTCAACATTTCTTTCATTGAACGCTTCTTTCCCATATGTCGAGTAGTGCTGACTGAAAAATAAGTCTAGATCATGAACACAACCATTCGCCAAGTAACTTTATTTTTTAGCAAATTTGTCAATTCAACCTCTTCTATTTTGCTTTTTACGGACACACAGTGGATAGTATACAGCACACGGAAATTTACATTATTAGCATACTTAACAGGAAATTACTTAATTCTCTCTGATTCAATCATTCGTGTTAGTACTACTCAGTACATTTGTAGACAAAATTAGATCATGTTGGGCGGACACAAATGTCGGATCTTAAAGACGCTGGTTTTACCACTGTCAAAGCCAAGTGTATGTGGTTTGGTCTTGGCTGAATGCTTTTGTGACAATTCTTTGATGTACTGTAGCTCCTTGTTTTTCTGTATGCTTGCCCACTCTGTCCCACTGGCTCGTTTCACAATCATTAAACTTTATTGAGTCATGGCATTATTTGACGCATTTATAGCTAATGCGCCAGTACATGGAATTCTGGATTTGCATTAGAGGATTTGGTTTTTCAAATATTCAAGAGTAATTATGAGCAAAACAGACTGACATGAACGCTAAATCTCTGTTTCCCCTTTGATTGCAGACATGTTCCAGTACCTTCTCTCCTTCTCGCAAGGACACCTGAGTTCTCTGCTGGAGGGTACATACCCCACCTTGTCCCGCCATGCTCTGCCCCATGTAAACCAGCTCTTCTCCTCTCTGTCCCGTCATCTGCGTGGGGCCAATGTCTCAGTAGAAGCAGCAGTCCACCAGTTTTTCAACAACCTTTTTCCACTTGTCTACACTCAGCTTATCAACCCTGGCCTGGACAGAGAGCTTGTGTGGAGAGAGATGGGAGACTGTCTGCGAATGATCAGACAAGACGTTAACCCGTTTGGACCTCACCCTGCAGTGATGGCTCAGGAGCTGGCTGGAGCTCTGGGTGCAGGGAAACATCTGGGACTGGCTCTTGCTGAAGGTCTGGAGGTCTTGAATGCCACTGAACACATCATCTTGAGCAAAGAGTGTGTGAAGGCTTTAGTTAGGATGGTGTACTGCTCGCATTGCAGAGGCCTGACCTTGATCAAACCTTGTGATGGCTTCTGTCTCAACGTGATGCGCGGGTGCTTAGCCAGTGTGTCGGAGCTGGACCAGCCCTGGAGAAGATACACCACTCTGTTGGAGCAGCTCACACACGCCATGGCCAACCAGCACAGCATGGAGCTGGCTCTGCTGGGGGTGCGGACGCATGTCAGCGAGGCTCTTCTGTATGCACAGCTCCACGGCCCAGTCATCACACCCACAGTGAGTCTACGCTCTGAATGCACTCCAGCCATTTTAACGACACACAGAAAACTTCAAAAGCTCCCATGTCATATTTGTATTAAGTATGTTCTTTGGCTCTGGTTAGTGTATTGATTGGAAAGATTTTCCTGGCTGCTGGGATACGAGCGATTCCATTTTTTCCAGCAATTCAACAAAGAACAGTGCACAGTACATTAATGTTAGTATTGAAATTATTACAGTCTAATGTTTATACTGCAAAAAGAAAATGGTTTTTACAATGACAATACAACTGAAGATCAATCTTGTGTTTTACTGCAGGGAAATCTAACTGTAGAGTATTTGTTGGAAAATGGATGTGATGTGGAAAGAGTGCACTTTCATGCTCTGAGCACTACCACATGTTATATGTGGTTATAGGTTTCATGAATGACTGCCAAACTGTCCTTTACCTAATCTTTAAGAATTTATTACGATCTCAGCAACACTGTGGTTTCAGAATGAATCACTGAGTTCAGAGGTGCATGGGGTTTAAGTAAAGCACTAGATTTCAAATGTAGTCCACAAATTAAAGCATTATCCTCATGTAACCTCTTGCCAAATTAATCATTTTGGGAACAACGCATGTTAATGGACCATGTTGTAACTTAAATCAGAAATTCAATTTCTCAATCTTTATCAAAAATGCGTTTTTATTCTTCACTTTACTCCATTAACTTAGTCACAAGTTTGCACTCTTCACGGTTGTCAAGTTTCACCTAAAAGTTATATATTTGTTCATCACACACCGCTTTAATTCAACAAATCAAGCATAAAGTCTATGTTATGCTTTCTGTTTTTGCTGATTCAAATGATTAGATGAAGTTGTTATTAAAGATTTTATTGAAACTTTGTGGTTCTTACACTGGGCCCGTATCCCGGAGCATTCAGTGATGCTTTCGGCTCTGACTCGTGGCCAGCTGCAGACTACACAGACGGGCTCTATATGCTGCTTATACGTCATAGGCTCTGCCCCGGTCAGCAGGCAGCGTGCTTAGGTATCAGGTTTTTAGAAGTCCCGTAAGGAGCCTCGATGGGAAGCCCACCCCGGGACAATACAAGCGTGGGGCGAGTAGCTGAAAGGCACCTATTGACAGGCTGTTTTAACACATTCCTTCTCATTGAGGCAAAGCGTGAACTGCGGCCTAGGGAAGTGCTTATGGATATTTGGGGATTTCGGGGACTGGATTATGTGAAGTAGACACAATTATGTTTCAAACTGGAAAATATATAGTGAAAGTGGTGAGTCTTATTCGACCCTAGAGGCAATAGTGATTTTTCTCAGGCCAAACAGCTCAGTTCAGATCCTCCATTCAGTCTTGTTTAAAGAGGCCATGTATTGCTGTTTATTGACATGGCTGTAAAAATGATATGGCTCGTATGACCCAGTCGAGGTGGTGACTTTATATATTATACTTTCATAAGATATAGCTTTAGTTTCTTAATGAGCTATCAACAGTGCGCTTATGAAAATACTCGCAGTGGTCCAGATTACTGCAGTTTATACTCGGGTCTACCTTATCCCCTTGTTGGTTTTACCCCAGCTTCTCATTACGGTTTTATGCAGGAATGATAATAGCAGCCTGAGCCGTTTGGAGAATGGAAACCTAGCCAGGGTTTTGATCGGAGGGTTTTCACTCCATAGACGATAGTCTCTCAAAGCCGCAATCAAATCAAATAACCCCAGTGGTGAAGAGATTATTCTGTAAACTTATATCTGCCCAATGTAGATTCATATGTCTCACATTTGAAATATGTACCAGAACATTTTCCAGGATAGATATTTAGCTGAAATGTCTCACAAGTAGTTTATGGACATAGCCAATGTTTTAACTAATGGAGTTTTGGCCAACCTTGACTCCGACCAAATTAATTTATGAAGACTTGTCCATTAGCTAATGATGCTGCCGCTCCTGTTTTTATCAAACCAGACCTTCTTTTGTGCTTACTCTTTGCTTTGAGTGAGCATTTTTCAGTAAAACTCTGATAAGTAGGTTGAGTTTGAGGCAGATGTTGACTTTCACACCAGGAAAAATTTAGATCACCAAAGAACTAAAAGTAACCAAGTTGCATTTTACCTATTTGTATTATAATTAGTCTTTTTTAAATTGGATTAGTGTGTTCTGGTTGTGCATTGTTCATTATTTTAATACCATTTCACTAAATTCTTATGATGGCCAGTGCAGGGAGGCAGTGTGGAGAACAGATACTATCCACAGACATCAGAGTGTGCTCCCATAGTGTTTAATGCGTAAGAAGACAATTAACTCAAACATGCTCCATGGGTAGGTCCTTCCCATTCATTTAGTTTTATTTTATTTTATTTTTTCGAATTGAAAGGGACATGGTGCATTCCCTGCATAGGTGTACAAAGATAATAACGTGGACCTAGCAACCAAAGAGCCAATCAGGAGCACTGGTGCTCAGTTTCCGCCCTGGCAACCCGCTAGACAAAGCTGCATTCAGGAACAGAAAGTATCTGATTGGTAAAGGCTCATATCTGGATTTACAAATGTTTTATAAGAATATAATCACCAGGCTCACACGGAGCACTATACCACAAATGTTTAAACCCAAAAGGAGGGTTACACCAAGTTACAGGTATGATGTTTACTTTTCAATGTAAGTGAAAGGAGTCAGAGCGAGTTGGAGCAAACCCTGTCCATCCATGAGCACTAATAGGCTTAAGATGCGGCCCTTTGGACGTTTCTAACCGGCCCCTGAGCCCTCCTCTGTTTATATACAGGTAGATAAAGTAATATTGTCTCTCTCTGCCGCAATATTTAATGTTTAACATAATACATTTCTGTGTTAAAATTGAATTGAGAGGAAAAGTTTGCCCGTGCAATTAGTCGTTGTGAAGATGTAAAAAACATGAATCCATTACCTTCCACTTTACCCGTAGCCAGGTCATGGAGGCATCAGTCTTTCCTATCCACTTCCCAGGCCAGTTGAGTGACATAGTCCCTCCAGCATGCCCTGACTCAGAACACCCGGTATATGAAACATCCAATTAAAACTAATACATGCAGGGACAGGTACAACCTTTCAAACATGCAGTTACGGTTCAAATTCCAGCACTTGTGGTTAGTTTTACATCAATGAAAACCTTGAACTGCCCAATTTTGATGGAATTCCTTATTCTGGAATATCTTCATCGTCATCGTCATATGTTTATTTTTGTCACTATCGCTCAGCCCTCACAACCAGGTGTTTTGTGGCTGAACCTTTTGATCTCGGTACAAGGAATAAACCACTAAGAGATTCTACAGTACTTCAGAAACACCAGAGCAAAACCTGTGGAAATATGCATCTGTGTTATGCTTTTAATAGTTGTCACTGGTTCATTGAAAGACTTGAAAATGGACACACGGGCTGCCACATGGGTTCCTCCAGCGGCCACATGCTTATTTGACTTGTGCATCTTTGCTCCAGCAGCACAGATGTCACGAACCTATTTGACCTTCTGCCTGTGGTTCATCATCACCCTTTCGACATATGCCACATCCACTGTGGTGGAATTCCCTCAACACTAGAACACCTGGAGCAGTCAATTTGACGGGTTTTAGATTTGGAAGTGCCAAATCACTACCACCTGTGTACCTTTCTGATCCTTTTCCTGTACCTTTTCCTAATTTTATGACCGATTGAAAAATAGGAGAACCAATAGTCTTGATGATCCATCCGGAAATAGAACATCCTCCTATTTATTAATTCATGCATGCATTCATTCATTCATTTTTTACCTCTTTATTAGTCAATTTCTGTGTCGAGAAGGTGGCAATCAGAGCTGCCACCCAATGCTCGCTGATCCTCCTGCAGGTGGTGGGTCCACAAGAAGATGGCTGCTGCTCCGTCAGCGGTGACACAGCCTTGGTCTTTCAGTGGGGGCTTCGGGCAACGTGTCTTGCCCAAAGACACAACGACAGCAGACATGAGTGGGAGCAGTTTGAGTAGGTCTTGTGGGGGGATATTCACCAGTTTTAGCCCAATCAAAAGTGAGTAAAGGTAAAACCCTTATTAGATTACCTTCTTTTAGTGTGTCCTATCACAATTATGCAGATGACACCCAATTATATGTTTCATTTACTGCAGGGGAATATGGACCAATACATTCCCTCTGCCAGTGCATTCAAACGATCAGTGAGTGGATGCAAAACAATTTCCTTCAACTTAACCCAGATAAAACTGAAGTTATTGTTTTTGGCCCACAAAAACAAAGAGAAAGTATTAACAGTTACATCCAGTCTCTCTCCTTAAAACCAACAAATGAAGTAAGAAATCTTGGGGTAGTAATGGACTCTGACCTTAAATTTGATAGGCACATAAAATCTATAACATCAGCAGCCTTCTATCATCTAAATAATATTGCCAAAATTAAAAATATGTTGTCTAAATCAGATATGGAAAAACTTATCCATGCATTTGTCTCCAGTAGGTTAGACTACTGCAATGGCCTGCTCACAGGTCTGTCCAAACAGTCTGTAAAACAGCTGCAGTACATCCAAAATGCAGCTGCTCGAGTCCTGACTAGAACCAGGAAGTACGACCACATTAGTCCAGTCCTCAGGTCTCTGCACTGGCTTCCTGTGGCTCAGAGAATTGATTTTAAAGCAGCTCTGCTTGTGTACAAGTCTCTACATGGTCTTGCACCGAAGTACATTGGTGACATGTTGGTGCCGTATGAGCCAACTCGGACTCTGAGGAGCACAGGGACTGGACTCCTGATGGTGCCCAGAGTCCGGACTAGGCATGGAGAGGCTGCATTTCAGGTGTATGCCCCAAAAATCTGGAACAGCCTTCCTGAGGATGTACGGGAGGCCTCATCTTTAGCATTATTTAAGTCTAAGCTGAAAACCGTTCTTTTTAGCTGTGTATATGACTGACTTTTATATATTGAGCTTTTTATGCCGTTTTTAATTCTGAAATTCAGTTTGAAATGTTTATTTTTATGCAACAATTATTATTGTTTTTGTTATTAT